CCCTCACACTCAGCCACACACCGCCTTTTATTTATTGTCTTTAAGTTTAGAGAGGAGGTCTTGCCAAATTGCCCAGCTGAGCTTGAACTTGTGATCCTCCTGGTTCAGCTCCCCTGCACCACTGTGCATTGGCTTGTCTGATCAGTTTTTGCAGTTGTTCCACTGTGTGTGTAGTCCAGGCTGGCCTTGAACTCACTTGTAGCCCAAGGTGGCCTCTAACTCCTGGCAATCCTCCTGCCTCAGCCTCCCAGATGCTGGGATCACAGGCGTGTGCTACCACACCTGGCTTTATCTGATCATCCCCCCCCCCCCCCCCGTACCGGGGATCGAACTGGGGTCCTTGCGCTTTCACAGCAGGTGGTGAAACCACTGAGCTAAATCCCTGGCCCTATCTGATCATTTTTATGAAATGTATTTTTGAAAAGGTGATAAATGCATGTCATAAAGTGCAGAATATTACAAAAGAGTGAGACAAGGAAAATTATTTCCTTTCGCCCCATGTCCTGGCCTGTGACTGTCTTATACTTCACCTGGAAAGGGTCAGCAGATCTGGCTGTCTCCTTTTAGAGAGCGGGTGACTGGGGTTGCCCCCGGGAGGGGTCTGCCTCTGCCCTCGGGGTGGGTGCTGTCCACGCCCTGCTCTGCCCGGCTTACCTCTGTCCTTTGGCTGGAAGAAGGCTGCCTTAGTTGTTCTGTTCGCTTCTTTAATGTAGATGTTCGCACAGATGCAGGAGTTGTGTGCGTGGGAGCACAGATGCCTGTTCCCCGCGCTGCCTGAGAGGTGGTGGCCGCTGCCCTCACAGTGCGGGGCTGGTCCTGAGCTCCGACAGCCTGATGCCCCGATGGCCTTTGCCAAGCTGCCGGGAAATGGCATTTTGTTCAGATTTGTGTTTTACCAGTTACACAGCAGGTTGAAAATCTTTTCCAATTTTGACCTTTTGTTTTCTCTACAAATTCACTTTGGTTTCTTCAGCTCAATTTTGAGTAGGTTTATGGTTATCGTCTGTTGCTCTGACAGGAATTAGCTATTTGGCTTGTGTGTAACAAGGATTGCTTTTTTCAGGAAGCCCTGGCATGTTCGTGGCAACATAGTATTTCACTTCAGTACTGCAGCCTGGGCTCCAGGGAGGCTGCAGCTGCTGGGTTGGTCGCAAAGGACAGAGGCAGAGTGTACACACACACACACACACACACACACACACACTCACAGGAGTTTCCGCTTGGTTTCTTCTTAATCTTTATCCTTATTACTCCATGTTTGCAGTACACAGTGACCACAGCCCTCATGGGGAGCCGGGGCACACGCGCCTCAGTTCCTTCCATGTTCCCTCCCCTCCAACCCCTCCTTCCCATTTGAGGAAGCTTCATCCCCCCTCCCCCAGTTCTTTCTTTTTTTCATCTCCGCTCCCCCCTCTCCCTCCACCCCTCATTCCCTTCCCATCTGAAAAGGATCCCCGCCTCCCACTATCTACCCTTTATTCCACTCCTTCTTTGTGCTTTTGGTTTCTCATATAAGAGAAACTGTGAACTGTTTCAGCTGTGTGTCTGATTTATTCCACCTAACATTGTGGTCTCCAGATGCATCCATTTTCCTGCCCATGGATGGCTTATGCCTATCCTTGTTTATGGCAGAGTAGTACTCCATTGGGTATAAATTCCACATTTTCTTTACCCACCCATCTGTTGGTGGACATGTAGGCTGTTTCTAAGATGTAGCTGTTGTGAATTGTGCTGCTGTGAACATGATGTGCGTGTGTCACTGTAATATGATGTCTTTTAGCTCTTTTGGGAGATAACCGAGAAGGAGAATAACTAGACCAAATGGGGTCTCTAGTTTTAGTTTTTTGAGGAGTCTCCATACCAGTTTCCACAGTGGTTGTCCTCGTTTACGTTCCCACCAACAATGTAGAAGGGCTCCTTTCTCCCTGCAGCCTCGCCAGCATTTGTTGTTATCTGATTTCTTGATGATGTTCTTTTTGGAGTAAGATGGAACCTTAGTATTGTTTTAATTTGCATTTCTTGAATGGCCAGTGGTGTTGAACATTTTTTCATGTATTTATTGACCATTTGTACTTCCGAGAAGTGTCTGTTTATTTCAGTTGCCTATTTTGGGGGGTTTTTTGATACTGTGGATCAAACTCAGGACCTTGCGCTTATGAGGCATGTGCGGTGCCACTGAGCTAAATCCCGGGCCCTCAGTTGCCCATTGTTTGATTGGGCCTTTTATTTTTGGGAGTGTCTGACTTTTTTGAGTTCTTTATATATTCTAGGTGTTAGTCCTCTGCCCGAGGAATAGTTGACAAAAATTTTTCCCCAATCTGTAGGTTGTCTCTTTACTTGTTGGCCGTTTCCTTTGCTGTGCAGAGGCTTTTTAATGTGACCCCATTTCTTGATTCTTGGTGCTATTTCTTGTGCCACTGGGGTTCTGTTCAGAAAGTCCTTGCCTGTGCTGTGTCTTCCAGAGTTTTACCTGTTTTATCTTCCAGCAGGTCAAGTGTTTCTGTTTTAACATTTAGATCTTTGACCCATTTTGATTTTAGTTTAGGGCATGGTGAAAGATACGGGTCTAGACTCAGTCTTCTGCCTGTGGATAGCCAATTTTCCCAGCACCATTTACTAAAGAGGCTGTCTTTCCTCCAGTGTGTGTTTTTGGCCCCTTTGCCAAAGATCAAATAGCTGAATGTGCCTGGGGTTGTTTCTGCTTTAACTGTTCTGTTCCATTGATCCACATATCTGTTTTGAATTCAGATCAATATTGCAGCCCCCAGATGTTTACTAGACTCTTGACTCTGATCTCTGTGTCTTGCCTTTTTGTGTTCTGAAGGACATCTGGAATGATAGCATTAGAATCCCTATACTCGGGGTGATCAAAAATAGAGTGAATGTTTAAATTAAACACATTGCCAAGAATGATGAAATAAGTATGTCTGAAGTGAGGGGGGAATATTTTGAGGGGCATTAATGATGGGGTGTCTTTTATTGTAATACATTTTTTAATTTAAACATTCACTCTATTTTTGATCATCCTTCACTTATCAAATGTTTACAATAATTTCTTCCTCGTCTACCTTATTGACTGGATCTGGCACCATGTAACTTCTGGCTCCTCCCCGAAGTCAAAATGACCATGAGAGGGAAATGTTTGAATGGATTCAGGACATCAAGACAGCCACAACTGCTCAACTAACGACAGTCAGGAAAGAGGACTCTAGAGCTGCTGCAGAAAGTGGCAAGAACAATGGGAAGAGTGTGTTTGAAACAAGGGCAATATTTTGAGGAGGATTAATGGCATTGTGTTTTTTTACTGTAATAACTTTTAAAGAATTTAAACCTTTCACCATGTTCTTTGATCATACCTTGTAAATACTCATTTATGCACAAAGCTTTCTCAGAAGGGACTTCTAACACTACTGCTCAATGTGATGACTGAAAATTGTTAAAGTTTGTTTTGTATGTGTGCTTCCTGCCCCTTTTAAAACAGTATAATCTATCTATGTGTTGATTATAGCTTAGAGCTGTTACATACTACCATGTCCTTCACAATGTTCGTTCTACATGTGAATATAGAATGCTCACCACCAACCGATTTTTTTTTTTGGGGTACCAGGAATCGAACTCAGGTCTTTGCGCTTTCAAGACAGGTGGCGGAACCACTGAGTTAAATCCCTGGCCCTACCAACCGATCTTTATGTTGTGTCTTCAAGTGATTTTGCTTGCTTAAAGTTCGATCCTTCTTTCTTCCCTCCCTTCCTCTCTTCCTTCCTTTTCTTTCTCTCCCTCATCCCTTCTTTGCTTGAGGTTGAATTTAGGACCTCACATCTGTTATGTAAGTGCTCTACCACTGAGGCCCAGGAAAGTTTTCTTGAGTTCGTTTTAATTTTGTTTATTTATTTATTTGGTACCGGGGATCAAACTTGGGTCCTTGCGCTTGCGCAGCAGGTGGTGAAACCACTGAGCTAAATCCCCAGCCCTTGAGTTCGTTTTTAGTATTCCATTTCATTGCTTTGGCTTTTGCCTTCAGATTCTCCTATTATATATGTGTTGGATCTTCTTTGCCTGTCTGTGCTTTTTCTTTTTCTTGGTTTTTCAAGACAGGGTCTCACTGTGTAGTTCAGCCTATCCTTGAATTCATTCTGTAGCCCAGGCTGGCCTCAAACTCCTGGCAATCCTCCTGGCTCAGCCTGCTGAGTGCTGGGATTATAGGCATGTGCCACCAAACCCAGCTGTGCTACTTTTTCTTGAACTCTTTTTCACTTCTTTTATTCTTACATTTTTCTTTATTTGCTCATTTTGTTTTTTGTTAAGAAACTATTGTGGGTTTTTTCTCTTGGTTCTGAAATTAACTATTCATATCTGTGTGCTAATAGACTATAGTTTGAGGAATGTGGCCTCATTTTATTTTGGAAAATAAGATCTCTCAAGGCCTAACGAAGGAAAGTCACAGAAAGTTCTTCTTGGAGATACACTGGGCATGGATGAGTATCACTGTTGCAGACCAGTGGTGCCTGTGGCTGGGACACTGGCTCTCTGGGGTGTGGCTGCCCAGCAGGACTGAGACACCTTGGGAACATGTACTGACAGGGTGTTTGCTGTCCACACTTGGGCCACTTTTGCCCTCTGGAGACTTTCAGCGTGGGGATGAGGTCTGATCCCTTTTCAGGAAGAGAGCTCTAGTTTTTGTGCGTGTATGGTGCTGGGGATCAGACCTGGGCATCACACATGCTGGATATGTGCTGTACCACTGAGCCACTCTTTGGGCTAGAAAGGTGACCTTGGAGGTGGTCTGAGGGTTGGGACAGAACTGGAGAGGCCGTCAGGTGAGGGCTGGTACAGGTCCTTCAGGAAACAGCTCACAGTGCCCAGAGAGCGCTACCTTCAGTGGTTGAGGGCAAGGGGAGCCCTGGGCTGAAACAGTCTGCATGAACACATGTGTGTCAGCTGCTCTTGTCGTCCTACATACACTCTTTATTAATTTTCCCCTCCTCTCTTGGCTTTTACAGGTGACAGCCACCCAGGCGCCCTGTGAATTGGATTCTTGCCCCTTGACTGGGCCCTCTTCTCGAATTCTGGATGATGTCAGAACAGGACCTGGCGGATGTGGTTCAGATCGCAGTGGAAGACCTGAGTCCTGACCACCCAGGTACAGAGCTATGGGACAGTAGGTGAAATGTTATTTCCTACTCCTTCAAAACCACAGCCACTCCAGTAGCTTGCTCTCCTTTCAGTTAAGCAGAAGTAGCCCAGTGTGGTGGTGCCGTAGGAGGCTGAATGGATCATGAGTTTGAGGCCAGCCTGAAACATGGTGAGACTCTCTCACAGACAGACAAGCAAACCTGAAGACAGAGGGTTAGGCAGAAGTGATGAGGCATGGTCCGCATGAAAATTCGAATCACGGAGTGTGAACAGTCTCTGAGGCCTGCCCAGACTCGGAGCTTGGGACACCTGTAAATGTGGTGCACCACACGTGTCTCATCCATAGTGAGCCTGAGGTTCAGATTTTCCCCTTATCAAAAATATGAGCCTTGTGAAGTGTGTCAGCATGTCGCCACACTCCTGTGGATAGCCTGGGACAGGCCAGTGTGCCCCAGTGGGCAGGCCAGGGCGGGACTCTTAACGCTCGGCGCTTCCCTGGGAGGCTGGGCCAGTGAGATGGTGGGGTCTTCAGCCTCCTGGCAGCAGAACCCAGCTGCCGGGGATGAAGAGGACGTGAGCAGGTTCCTTCGGAGGGCCTGGAGGGCTAGCCTGAGTGCAGTCCTGTTAGCTCGCGGGCCCGCCACTGGACACCCCTGTCTGCACTGCAGGCTGGGAGGTGCAGTCTGGGTGTGCTCGGGATACAAGGAAGCGGTTATCGTAAAGAGTTGTATGCCTCTTTCGTAGTACTTCACATGATTTTCCCGGATGTTTCTGGTTTGTATTTTCTTTCCTAGTAGGTTGCAAATGGTCTTGGAAAGTTATTTCACACTATTTTTCTAATGCTTCTCAGTATATAATATACAGGTTGGATCGATTCAGCACTTGACATGTTGTATGAGTTTTCTCTCTCTCTTTTTTTTTTTTTTTTTGGTACCGGGGATCAAACTCAGGACCTTGCGCTTGCAAGGCAGGCGGCGGCACCATTGAGCTAAATCCCCAGCCCTGTATGAGTTTTCTATTGCTCAAATGATCAAAAAGTTAAAAGACTTAGTCAAGAAAGAATAAGATACTCCTATAATCCTAGAAACATAGCTGCATGTATCTTCTTCCAGATTTTTCTTGTTTTCATTTAAAACAAAACTCCTCTGGTTTTGCATGCTGTGTGTTGTACTTACTTGTCTGAAGGTAAGTGGGGCTGTCTCTTTAATCAGGCCTCTCTTTTCAGTAGTTTGTGATGGCGTACAGTGAACAGTGGGGTGATGATGGTTTGTTCTGTACAAGGGGACTGAGTTACTTCCTGTTTGTGCACATTCGGCCTTCCTGCCTCTTCCTACCAGAAGTGCCACAGTGAACATACTCATGCGTGTGCATGTGTTGGACATGTATTCTTGCATACTGACGTTCACTCCTGTTAAAAAGTGGTTACAGGTCGGGGATTTAGCTCAGTGGTTCTGCCGCTTCCCCTGCAAGTGCAAGGACCCGAGTTCGATCCCCGGTACCAAAAAAGAAAAGTGGTTACACCCACTAACAGAGAAGGCTGTCCATGCATTCCGGGGGTTGCAGAGGAAGCTGTCGAGCAGAGGCCCGCCCTTGCCTCCAGGAGACCACTGTGTGAACGTTAGTGTCGGGCATTTCAGGTGAGAAGATGAGAAGAAAAACCAATACTCTTGTAAAATGAAAAACATTTATAGTGTGAAGTTAGGAAAAATGACTATAAAATGCCATCTATGTTGTAAATGTGTAAATTTTTAAAGATTGACGAGGGCTGGGGAAAGGGGCGGGGAGTGTCACAGAGGAGTAGAAACATGGATTGTTTTTTTTGCGGTTGTGGGGGGGCTACCGGAGATCGAACTCAGGTCCTTGCGCTTGCAAGGCAAGTGGCAGAACCACTGAACTACATTCCCAGCCCCATGTGGATTGTTTTTTTTGTTGTTTCTTTGTTTGTTTTTGGTACTGGGGATTGAACTTGGGACCTTGCGCTTGCGCTACAGGTGCTGGAACCACTGAGCTAAGTCCCTGACCCGAAACGTGGATTGTGATGGGCGGCTGTGGATGGTTTCGGGATTTGAGTCTGGTTGTCTTCAGTGGTGTTTGTAGTGGATTTGGGGTGGGAGGAAGGAGTGGGTGGCAGGCCTTGAGTCGGGTTTCGGTTGCACCTGGGGCAGGCTGGGGGCCAGCAGGGCTGGGGGCGGGGGGGTGGGCTCCGCGCAGCAGCTTGTGCAGTGGAGCCGGTCTGGATTTCTCACCGTGAGCCAGTGTGATGTGCAGAGTGCATGGGGTGGCACAGTGGGATTACAGAAGACAGACTTGATCCGAAAGTGGGGAGAAGCTGAGAGCGGTGGTACACGTGTGTGATCCCAGCACTTGGGAGGTTGAGGCAGGAGGATCACTGTGGGTTCACAACCAGCCTGGGCTAAAAAACCAAAAATCAATCAATCAATCAGTCAGTCAAGTTGGGGAGAAAAGGTGTTAGCATGCTGACATTCAAACAGGCACTCACAAGAGCATCGAATGGGGAGCCTGGAGTTTGGTGTCGTGATAGACCTGGTGGCACATTAGGAAAATAGCTGGCATCTCATTTTTTTAGGGATTAAGGAGGGCTTCTACTTTTTGCCTGTGATTTTAACTTTAAACTTAATGTAAACTATGAACTAGGCTGTGTCATTTCTCATTTAACTGATCATGTTTACTATCTTTATATTAGAAGTCTATGGAACTTCCCATGTGTAATTATTTGTCTCTCTCATTGATTTTCAGTTGTTTTGGAGAACCATGTGGTAACAGATGAAGACGAACCTGCTTTAAAGCGCCAGAGACTAGAAATCAATTGCCAGGATCCGTCCATAAAGGTGAGCATAAGATCGTGTTTATGTGTACTGTACCTGAGTTTTCTCCCATAAGCTGGAAGGCCTGAAGCAGTTGAAGTTTATTCTCTCCTAGCTCCTGAGGCCAGAGGTCCAGAGGCAAGGAGTGAACAAGGCCACTGTCCTCTGGAGGCCGCAGGTGAGAGCCCTTCTTGGCCTCTCAGGTCCTGGTGGCTCCAGGTGTTCTCAGCCACATCCGGATTGAGTGCAGGCCCACCCTAATCCAGGCCAGGTGCCCTCACCACACCTGCAGGGACTCTTCTGGTCCCCACCCTGGGTTCTGGGAGTCCCCAGCCTCCCCACTGTAGGAGACCTGAGGGCATTTTCCTCCAAAGGACAAGGAATTAGCATGGTCAGGTCGCTCCCCGTCCTCCTTGGGCCAGAGGCTGCCTCGGGTGGACAGAAGTGAACAGTCACTGGCTGTCACTCGGGTGTCAGATTGCTGCTTGCCTGCCCTCTGAGCACCTGGACCCTGAAGTTTGCTAGGTCGGTAAATTGTCTTTAGATCTTGGAATTTGCTTGTTTGGTTCCAGTGCCTGCAGAGTAAGAGGTAATAGCACAGGAGAGGTGTTTTTGAGACCAGTGCGAATGGAGCTGTCACTTTTAATACCCCGTCTGTTCATCCCGGACACTGGTTAGAAATGTCCCGTTTGTTTTGTTAGCAAGGAGAAGGCAGTGTAAGCTTAAGTGGACGATTTAACAGTATGATCACATTTTAAAATAAAATGGGGTTATAATAGTGTCACGAAAGACACATTCGTAGTGAACAACATGGAGACATAGAAAGTAGAGAGAAAAGTGGTGGCTTCAGCTCTGGTGACACCATGGACAGGCTGGGGCTGGGCCACACCCGCAGGTGCGTGGCATGGCAGTGAGCAGGTCCGAGCTGTTCGTGGTCACCGCCGCCTGAGAGAGGCTCATTTAGAAATACCACCTCCGCTCTTTCTTCACGTTGCTCTGTTCCCCAGGTTGCTTTATTATAGGTAAGGGTGATTTTCACCCAAAGCCCAGGCAGAATCCTTTCTGACTCAGATTACTGTGCTTCTGCTATGTTGAAAGAATTCAGGAGGCGGATGTGCTGTCTTCCGATGTGGAAGGTCATGGGGCTGCTTGGCCTCACCTCAGAGATCAGCCACAGCCAGGGCTCCAGGGAATCTGCCTCCCGTGCCATCGACATGGCCTGTGCAGCTCGGCCATGGCTCAGGGTGGTGGCAGTGGGGCTGGGTGGCCCTCGTGCCTGTTGGTAGTTTCTGCACACTGCTCCAGCGCTGTGCTCCAGGGAGGGTGCAGGTAACTAGTTTCGTAGCCCCCCTTACAGTAGCACACCCAAGGTGACTCTTGTCAGGTGACTCTCATCACTGAGGTGCTGCTCCTGACAGCTGCGCACCTGGGGTGTTAGGCAGAGTGTGTGGGTTCTCCGGGGCAGCCTGCTGGCAGTGCTCTGCACATGGGCAGCCAGGTTTGATGCCAGGTATGTGGTGGGCGAATGCTGCTGCTGCAGTTCTCATGGCATGCGATCCCCTCGGCCTGGATGGGAGACGCACCCTGACTGGTGCACTGGCCGCCACTGGCTCTGAGGTCCCCGTCTCTGCTTCCTGAGCCCACCTCCTGGCTTCTGACATGTCCACGCAGCCTCTTCTCCCCAGTCATGGCAGGAGAGGGGAGGGGAGAGGCAGCGCACAAGTCCTGGAGAGTCTGCATACCTTCAGGTGCTGACATGGGCCGGGTGCCTGCCTTACAGCCACAAGGATCGCCTGCTGTCCCACCTGCCACCCCCAGGCAGCAGCAGGCTTGGTGTTGGGACTGCTCCTCCAGAGTAGATTCTTTTGCTTGTCTTTTGGTGGGTCGTGCGGGCTTTATTCATTTTTTCTTTTTTTTGGTACCGGGGATCGAACTCAGGTCCTTGTGCTTGCACAGCAGGCGGCGAAACCACTGAGCTAAATCCCCAGCACAGGGCTTTATTCATTTAATTAAAAAAAAAAAATCAGTCCGTATGTACAAAACAAGCTGATTTTTTTCAAGGGTTATAAGGACTTTAGAACGATTAAAGTTATAGCATGGATTACATGGAACTACCTTTTCCCAGAAGTGACTAAGTGAACAGTTGTGCCCCAAGGAAGCTGTCACAAGTACACAGTAAGGGGACAGCAGGTCCAGCTGCTCACTGCTCACTCACTGTGTCTGAATTTGGGTAGAGAAGCGAATTACCCAGGGGTGCACGGGTTAGAGAATCCATTTCCACTGCTGCCCAGATTCACCTACAGTGTTACTGCGTCACAGCCAAACCCTGACAACGAATTGCAAAACTCAGGGTGAGGACAGTCACAGTGTAGACCTTGGGATGCCCCGGGGGGTTCCGTCCCTGGAGTTGTCTCGGGCACCTCAGTGCCCCAGGGTGGAACCCCAGGAAGTCACAAGACCTCAGTACCAGGGACTAGGCCACCGCCTGCACCCTCAGCTCAGTGTGGCAAGGCCCTCGTTGTTCTTCCTGGAGATTCCCTTTGGATGAGTGTGAGGCCCATCTGCCCTTGTGACCCGGGGAGGCCTACGTGATTTAGTGTGAGCCCCACCTGTCCCCGATTGGGGAGGGGAAGCCCCTCCTGCCTGGCTGTGTGCTTAATCCCTTCTTGGGTTGGAGCCCTGTGCAGTGCTGCCTACCCAAGCGGCTCCCGTGGCCTGGACCCAGCGGTGACCAGACGGGGCTGCTCCTCCTGCCTGCCACTAGGTGGCAAGCTTGTTACTCAGAGCTTGCCCAGGGCTGCTGGACTGCAGAGCCAGGCCAGCCTGCTGGATGCTCGTTGCTTCTGGGGAGCAGGCATGGTGCACATATGCAGGGCATGTGGTCTTTGGATTGTTCGGATGTTAGTTGTAGTCTGGTTTTATTGTGAGAAGGATTTCCTAGCTTAGGTGTGGATTCACTGGTAGTTTTATAACCTGTCAAAGACTGCAGAGGTGTTTATGCTGTGGACCCAAGCACAGCTGGACTGGCTACCCACAGGGAGGTGACCTGGGGTACTATGCACGTTCCCACCTTCCACGAGTGTGTTTGTTGCTCACATGCTTCTGGTTGTAAGCAGGTTGCTGGTTGTGGTGCAGGACTGTTCTGCTGGGCAGATACACTGAGGTCAGGGAGGCGCTGCATGGTCGGGCGGCTTGGAAGGGTCCCCAGTGTTCAGGAGGTCCTTTCTGAAGCTTGTCTCTGTCTCCCTTCCAGTCTTTCCTGTACTCCATTAACCAGACGATATGCTTACGGTTGGATAGCATTGAGGCCAAGCTGCAGGCTCTGGAGGCGACGTGTAAGTCCCTGGAGGAGAAGCTGGACCTGGTCACCAACAAGCAGCACAGCCCCATCCAGGTCCCCATGGTGGCGGGCTCCCCGCTTGGCGCCACCCAGACCTGCAACAAAGTGCGATGGTAAGGGCAGCAGCAGGGCTCCGGGAGGCCACTGTGGAAAGGCGCTTGGGTCCTCGCCCAGCCTTGCTGTCACTCACGCTGCCGTCGGCACTGGGTGCTGATTTCAGTGCGACCAGAACTGAACAGGGCTCTGCCTGGAGTCACCTGAGCTGAGCCCCCTTTCCTCTTCGGTAGAAGCCAGACTGCCCCTTGCCTGTGCACCTTGCCACTGGGTCTTTGCAGATAGCCATTTGCTTCTGTGCTTTTTCTAACCCTATCTGGCTGGTCTTTAGATATTTTTCTCCCAATGTGATGTTTATAAATTTCACTGGAACCTACCAAACTTTCCACTCAAATCTATAGCTTTTATGGTATCTATTTAAAACAATACTTAAAGTCTCCTCTTAGAGATTATCTGCAATGTAGTTGATGTACCGTTTGAGCTGAAGCTTTATGAACAGTTTAGTTGGACTGGAAAGATGTTCCAGAAGGTTTTTGACCATTTCTGTACCCCGTAGACCAGGGGTGGTGAACCTATGGCACGCGTGCCGCAGCAGTCACGCAGAGCCCTCTGTCAGGCCACCAGCCAGGTCACCCCAGCAGCTGAGCGTGGACGGGATAACGGTTGTTTTTTCTAAAGTAAAACCTCAGCATTCAGGTTTAATCCCAGTGTTGGCACTTTGTGATAGATAAGTGGGTTGCAGTTTGGGTAGTTGGTCTCTAGAAGGTTTGTCATCACTGCCATAGGCCAAGGCAGCCTGTCTTAAGACATACTTGGGCAGTGACTACGAGTCCTGTGGCATTTTATCCTTTCCCACAACTGGCTATGAAGAAGTCACATTTGTGGCAGGGGCTTAAAATGTGCCTTTGTATTTGATGCACTTATTGAAGGCTGTCTCCTGAGGGTCGGACGGCAGTGGGAGTAACAGCAAGCCTGGGGGCCTGCCGAGCCCTTGCTGCCAGCATTTGTGGTGGCTGCTGGGTACCACCCAGTGCCTGTGTTCTGCAGGCCAGCTCAGTGTGAGGCACTTTGTGGACTTGAAGCGGACCTGGGAAGGTGGAGGAAGGGCTCCCTGGGCTGGTTAGTTGTGGCATGTCCTGACTGTCACAGTGGCCACCTCTCCTGCTTTGCCTGAGATTGCTCCTGATGCCACCTGCTGTGCTGGCATGTCACGTGCATCCTCAGCTCCCACCAGGGCCCTGGTGTTCAAGCCCACCTGGCCCCCGCCCGCCCCTCCTGCAGGGGTGGAGCAATCCCAGCATCTCAGCTCCCAGAGGCTGTGGGGTGGTACCTGTGGCTCCCATGAGACAGGCCACACCCCTCTGCTCTGTGTCGCGCGGCTCCCACCTGTTGCTGTGCAGGCACTTGCACTGCTCTCTGCTTAAGCTCTGTTAAGCTCCCGAACCAGTTGACCCAGTGCCTCTTTTGAAAAGAGCAATTTTGTTTTGAATGCCTGCTTACCCTACAACGCAATGGTTAGAAGTATGATTTACAACTTAAAAACTAGAGCATTCTGGCCATAATGCAGGGAGAAGGAAGAGGGCAGTGGGGTATCACGAAGTAGCATATATTCCCACCTGCGAGTGGCCAGCAGAGCTCTGTGCCCTGCCTCACATGTGGTGTCCTGGTGCAGCTTGTCACCTTTACACTTGGGGTGCAGACGCTGGCTGCTGGTGGAATAGTACAGAACGGGAGCAGTTCTTGATGAGGTTTTGAAGAAAGCAGAGCATAATTTTTCTACACTGATGCAATAGTTGCGTTCCTGGAAAGTCCAAGTCATTAGAACTGCGCTGAAGTTTTTTGTTGTGTGAACGTTGAGTGGACTGAGATTGCGGGTTTCAAGGTAGAAAGCCGGTGCTCTGCTCAGATAAATGCTTGGGAAGGCTTCCTGTTAGGCAAGGAGGGGTGTCGGCCTCCTCGGCCAGTGCTCAGCAGACTCCGGCGGTGTCTCTTACCACGTCCCACCCTGAAGCACCGGCACTGAGCGCTCCTGTTCACAGGCTGGAAGAGGCTGATGACCCCCTCCTGCGCTGAGAGCCCTGCGTGCCCGGAGGACAGCTTCCTCGGTCGCTGGTCACTGGTGTGCTTGCATTTGGACAGGCCATCCTCCTGCTGGGGAAAGCTCAGAGCCAGAGGAGAGGACTTGAGGGCCCTTGGTGTGAAATTCCATCTGCAGGGGAGTGTGGGTCTCTGGGCATCACGGTCACCCTGCTGGACACCTGGCCCAGTCACAGAGCCGATTGCAGCACCACCTTCCTCATCTTCAAAAAAAGATACGGAGGTGACTTGGGTCCGCTCTGCTGCTTTGGTGCCATTCCGGTGGGGACCATGCCCATGCTCGCTGGAGAGCTGCTGTCTGGAAACTTCAGGGAGGAGTGGAGGTTAAGAGCATCATCCCAGGATAGCGGTGAAATACAGTGTGCTTAAAGTAGAAAGTCACTCATGTAGACATACGAGTGAATGGGAACTGTATCTAAAAGGTGGGCCGTGGAGCATAGAATAGTCTTCACAGACAACTGAAAACTGGGTAGCATTCTGAGTGGTTAGATAGTTCTACGAGGTGTTTGGAGCCTCAGATATTTAGAATAAAGGAAGTATGTAAGTCAGGGATTCTCTTACATCCAAGTAATGTGCTCTTAAAAAATAACTTGCAGTTCCTTGGGCTCACTGCTCACTTGCTGTGAGGAGTTTGTGGGGAGGTCTGAGTGTGGTCTCCTGGGCTGGAGGTGGACGTTGCCCGGGCCTTCCGTGGTGAGGAGCCCTGCAGAGCGCACAGGAGCTGCCTGAGTGGGGCCCTGGCCTCTGCTCTGGAGGCACGCAGCAGCAGGACGTACCTGCTCGCTGAGGCCCATGCTCTGCACTGGCCGGGGCTTCTGACTCGAGCTGGCCTGGCCTGGTCTGCACTGCCAGCACGAGTCCCTTGTTCCTTTTACTCCTCTGAACACAGGAGGCAGTGGGTCCTGCCAACCAGAGTTGGCATTTTAGATCCAGATTTTCAGATTCTGCACCTGAATGAGATTCTTTAAATACATTCAAGAAGAAAAGCAAAGAAAGCCTATGTTCTCTGAAGCTGGAGTCCACTCCCTGCAATGAAATGTTGGTGAGATGGCCTGGATGGGGTTCCGCCCAGCAGCAGTGTTGGAAACGGACTTCGGGTCTCTCGGGTAGGTGCTTTCTTTCTTCCCGAAAGTGTGCCGTAAACGTAGACTTGGGTAGTGGTGAGTCTAGGGCAGTGCCGTGGGCTTGAACTTTAAAGAGGATTGGGAGCGTGGGAGTATGGGACCAAGAATGAGTTAAGTCCTCTCTGTCGTGCTGGTGGCTGAATTTATCTTACTTCCTAGAGGACCTCTTGTTTTGAATTTGATGGATTTTCCAGGAAAGACTTTTGTTTTGTTTTGTTTTGTTTGTTGTTTTTTTGGGCACTCACGGCTTCTTGGTAGAAACATCTCTGAGCACCGGGGGTCCTAGCTGTGGTGCCCCAGGTTAGCTGTTCCACTTTGGGGCCATCGGTATTCTCAGTCAGAGATCCGGCATTTCATAGGCTTCAGAATGTGCCGGACTCCAGGGAGGCCGCTTAAATTGTGGAGAAATAGTTTGGCCTGAGCCATGTCAGGCTTGTTTAACGCTCTCATAGCTGGTTTTGGATCTCAGTTGCTTCCATTGGATTGTGGTTTCTCTTCTGGACCAGTCTGCAGTCCTTTGCACAGCCTCACCCTTTGGATGGCCTCGTGGCTATGCCCTGTGTGTGTCAGGGCTGAGCCCTGTGCAGAGGAAGCAGACGGATCGAGCAGTGTGCCTAGGGAACCGTTGACGTCATCTGTGGTGGAGAGATACAGCCTGCTGGCCCGAGCTGGCAGCGACCTGATCAGGGTCTAAACTGGAGTCCTGCCCAGGGGTGCGTCCCCAGGATGTTGCTGCCAGCTGTGCTGCTCCACTCACTCAGGGAGTGGGCTCCCGACTTGTGAGCGTGGCATGCCTCTCCAGGCGTGCACATTTTAATTTGTCAGCACTGTTCCGCCGTCTTTGGAGCACAGCTCCCATGGGCATTCATCACGCTGATCTTGTAGACATGCTGTGCTTATAGAGGCTGTCACACCTGGGTGCAGCTGTAAGCTTCAGTCTCCGGTGTCCCTCATCATTTCTCCATCTGCTTCAGTCTTTTTAAGTGCTTGTGGTGAACCCAGGGCCTCACACGTGCTAGGGAGACACTCTACCCTGACCTACATCCCTAGCCCCCAAATTCACTTATTTAGTAGCTGTCCTATAGCATTAAAAAAATGTACCTGTGTTGTCTTCTAATAGTTTTATTTCTTTCTGTTGGATTTCTGTACTTTTTCCCCAGTGCACCTCGCTGGCCTCACCTCAGTGTTTGGTCTCCTTTGAGGCATTTGCTCACTCCTGATCTATGGGCTAGGCCTCCAGTCTTTCAGTAGCAAGAGCGAGCCAGCTCTGTGTTCTCTAGGAAGCTCTTTCTCTGTCCAGCTCGGTTCTTTTCCATTCCATGTTCTGTGAGGTTTTGCTGTCAGCAGGTGTTGTGTTTCCCCTATATCGTAGTATTCTCATAGTGTCTTTTTTTGTTTTTTGAGATAGGGTTACACTAGTAGCCCAGGCTGGCCTTAAACTTGTGATCTTCCTGCCTTAGCCTCCTGAGTCCTGGAATTATAGGCCTGGCCCCACACCCGGCCCATAGTGTCTTCTAAGTGTCTTTAGGTCCACATGGCGTTTAGGCTGTAGGTCCTATAGGCCCCACTGGTCTGTGACAGTGTCTCAAGTTTTCCTTGTTTTGGATGACCTGACAGTTGTGGTCTGGATGTCTGGCTGTTGGGATTTGTCTCATGCTGTCCTCGTGGGTAGAGAGGCTTGTGGGTTGGGGATGGAGCTCCAGAGGTGATGGGCCGCCCTCTTGAGCATCGGTTGCAGCTCCTAGGAGAGAAGAGGCAGCGCACACTAAGAAGCTGGCTCTTCTGGTCTGGGCCTCCAGGGAAGGGACTGGAGGTGCTGCGGGTGTGCGCTGTGGCTCTTGGGCTGGTTGGCACTGGAAGCTTTTCTCCTGTGGCCCCTTTTTGAAGTTTGTTACTCTGGGTGCTTTCCCTTTCTCTGGTGCAGTTGGCTGTTTGGGAGGGTGGTTTTATATGATACTTTGCTTATCTCATTAGATATCGAAAAGAAAAATTTAATGTAACTTGTTTTTACCCTAAGGTAAGAGTCCCGGTTTTTATGAATTTTGAATTTTTAACTTGCAAGCAGTAGGGACCATTTAGAGCAAGATTCGCCCATGTTTGGTTAGTCGGGGTAACACGGTGGCAGGAGAGGCATTAGGCTGTGAGCCGATGCAGTGGCGGTGCCTCTTGCTTGTGCCCACAGAGCACCGTGATTGCGGCCCCACAGCAGCCGGGGGGCTCTCTTGCCCAGTGTCCTCTGTCATCTGTGGCTTCGGGGTCAGAAGGGAGACCCTGAGTCTCCCTCTTCCTGGAGAAGGCCCGCCCACCTTGTGCCTCACCGGCCTGAGCGTGGCCTTCCTTTCTGGGTGCAGTGCAGTGATGGGCAGTGCCAGGACTGTGCCATGAAGGACAGGCATGGGGCCGGCCTTCCCGCCGCAGTGGCGCTGGTGGACTTCAGATGCCTGCTGTGTTGTTCATCTGCTTTCCCTCCTTTCCCTGCTGGGGCTGAGACTGGCAGGCGGGTCCTGGCTTTGCAGGGACAGGTGGGGCACAGCTGTGTTTCCCCTGTGAGTGTGAAAGCAGGATGCGAGGTGTGGGTGATGAGCAAAGGGCAGGGCTGGGGCGCAGTGCAGGGGTCGAGAGCTGGACCAGCATAGGCGAGGCCCTGGTGCTACCCAGCAGTGCAAAACAAGAAGGAGCACACATGCTCACAGCTTTGAGACAGAACTGCCTGGAGTTCGGCAGAGCAGAGGCCACTTTATGAGCCTAGCTTGGAAATGTCTGCACGCCTGCTCTGAAAGGTGAATGTCGCCTGTTTGAAATCCATCAAGGTGAGCAGTCAGACACACACACCCTGAGAGGCCAGCAGCTGACAAGGGGTTCCACAGGGAGGCCCTCGAGAGCACCTGGCTTCCATGGCAGCCAGGTCCCCGGCTCCCGTAGGAGACCGCCCAGCATGCCTCCTCTCTAGGGCATGGGGATAAATAGTGAGCCTCCACTGGGCTGAGCCCTCAGGGACTCTGTGAGGTCTGGGGATTGGTGGCATCGCTGCAAGTCCTGCCCGAGTGCCGCTGGGCCCAGCCTCTTGGTGTGTACCTGCACACCCAGGAAGCCCACAGGATTTCAGGTCCCCTTCAGCTCAGTGTCTTCTGGATTCAGATTCACCTTCTGTCTGTTGGGCGTATGTCCCTAGGCCTTTGTTCTGGTCACAATTCTCAGTCATTTTTCTTTCGGCCTGACGACAAGAGTATCCAGCCTTCAACTCTAGCAGGAGCTGATTTTTTAATTCACTCACACCTGAGGCCAGAAGGCTCCAACTGTGTCCTCAGCACTTGGGATGCACCCTTGGACAACACAGACAGAAGGACCCTTGTCTAGGGGAGACAGTGTAAAGCAAAACATAATAAGACACTTGATGGAGGAGAAGAGTGGGTGGAAGTCGTAAGAGAGGATGTTAGATTAGAAGTGCGAAGCCACGGAGAACAGTTAGCTGGCTGATGGAACAGACCAGAGAGCCCAGGGTTAGCCCCTTAGGGATTTACCGTGCCCAGCTGACCTTTGCAGAAGCAGTGAGGCGAGGAGGCACGGCTCTTAGTAGATGGCTCAGGTGCAGCCAGACCCCACAGGAAAGCAAGAAAGGGAGCCTTGATGGAACCCACTTTGTATGGAGTTAACTTGGAAGGGACCACGGATCTAGAGGTGAAAGTACAGCACTGAGATGAAAACCCAGAAGGTCTATGGGGCCAGAGCGAGGCAAAACCTTCTTAGACGTGATGTATGGATAGAAAGACAGACTCAGATGGGGAGAAGACATTTGCCAGCGCACAGCCAATGGAAAGACGAGGACTCTCAAACCCAGCAGTCTGCCTGGAACCCGGGCAGATCATAAGCTAGCTATATCCCCAGGGAGGAGCTCTGGTGCTGAACAGTGGTGCCAGCTGCTTGGCATCCGAGCCACTGTGGCATGCTGCTCAGAACTCCAGGGAGACCTGAGTGCTCTGTCCCAGCCCTAGATAAGAAGTGGCCCCAGCTCCAGCACCGATGTGGGCAAGAATATGGAGACACTGGAGATCTCCACACTGGTGGGACAGGAAGCGACCCCTGGCCTTTATCTCAGGGAAGTGGACAGATCTGTACCTGGATGCTAGCAGCAGCTGTATTTGTAGTGTCCGAGACCCGTGAGGTGCCCTTGGATGGGTGGGTGGCGAGACAAACCCGTGCCCCATGCTGGAGAAGCAGTACTGATTTGATGTGCACTACCATGCAGCTTCTAGGGCATCTTGTAGGAGGCACAGAGCCAACCTGGAAGGTTCGTGTTCTCCAAGGTCAAAGTGTGCGGGTGGAGAACAGGGTGGTAAAAGGGCAGGGCTGGGTGTGGTGGCTGGAGGAAGCTCCTCTGGGTGATGGGGCAGTTCTGCCTCTGGGGGTGGCAGCTGCCCAGACCTGTGTGTGGGACCCATGCCCAGGACCACGCACATGCACACACTGTCCATGCACGCAGGCAGGAGGTGGTGAGATCCACACGACGCTGGCAGGCTCCTCCGGGGTATTGCTTTGTGCTGTTGCTGTGGAGGCGCAGGGCACAGGGTTTCACCGCCTGGGGAGGGTTCGCAGGACGTGCCGTACTGTTCTGTGATTATTTTAAAACAGGAGTCAGGGTTCAATCAGAGGACCAGTTAGAGGGCTGTATGCCTGTGTGCATGTGTGTGCACACATGTGTGCTGTATATGCTCTGTGTGAGAGAGAGTGAGCACTAGCCCTGTGAGGTGTCTTTTAAGGAACTGATGTACACAGTGGTGAGGTGTGGAGGGCAGGTGGAATCTGGGGCAGGGGCTGGAGGGGAGGCACAGCAGGCTGCACCCTGCAAGAGAGAGTCCTTAGGAGGCTGGGCCTCCTCTCAGGTGCCCTGCAGAGGCCAGGCTCCCCTCGGAGGCTTAGGTGGACCAGTGAGGACTTTCGGTTCCTCCTGCAGAGTCCCTGTTCGGCAGCACCCAGGTCAGTGCCCCAGCCCCGGGGCTTGGTAGTGCAGCTCAGCCACCCCAGAAAGTAACACGTGAAAATGAGAAGATGCTCAGCGGCTTGTAGTCTCGAAGGCCTGTGACAGAGAGTATCAGTGTGCTTATCTTTTCTTCTCCTGCCTTCCTGAAAATGCGTCCAGAGACATTCGCGTGCGTGCATGTGCATCTACATTTAGTTATTCACTTCTGCCACTTAATAGTATTGTGGTCCTTTTTCTGTATCGATTCTTACAGAACTTACTCATCTTTCTTTTTTCTTTTTTTATTGGCAGGGCTGAGAATGGAACCCAGGCCTTGCGCATGCTAGGCAAGGGTTCCACCTCTGAGCCACATTTCCATTCCAACTACTTCATTCTTTTTTTAAGTGATATGAAGTTCCATAATTTTTGAAAAACTGTTCTTTGGTAAATTTGAGGTTGATAGAATTGGGTGAATCCCAAACTCATATAGCCTATGTTAGTCTCCTAATTTGCATATATGAGAAGTGTGATTTTGGAGCCTGGCCCCGATTACAGTAACCAAGTCAGAAGTCACCTGGGTTACTTTAGATACCTGGTCTGCAGATGATTTGTCACGGTTTGGTGGGTTACTTTAGGTGTCACCAAAGAACAGGTTGAACGATGGAGAAAGCAATACCTTTGACATGTGTTTGATCACACTTTTATTCTGGAAAGTCAGCTGTGGTCACGATTGACTGGGCAGGTGCAGTTCTTGTACCTGGTGGGGCAGTTGCAGGGATGCGGTGCTATACCAGGCTGGATTTTTCACGTGTGCAAGTCACAGAAAAGCAGGTCCCCCCCGCCCCGTCCCCCTGTCGTCCCCCCCCCTCCCCCGAGCAGGAGGGGTGCTCTCTTCTCAGGTAAAACAAGTTTGTTTCAAGTACTGGTTCCTTTTGCCCCCACCTCTCACAGCAAAGCATACTCTAGGAATTTCTTGTGACCATAAATGCTGAGGGCTAAACACATGACTGATTGAAAACTGAATGAGCAGTGCTTGCCAGTCAGCTGCCTTGGCCCTGCCTATTACACAAACTGGTGCTTCCGCTGGGACTCCAGCTGTACTCCTGGGAACAAAGCCTCGGGGGCTGTGGTGTGGTCTCCGCACTTGCTAGGATGCCGCCGCTCTTTCCAGAGTGCTGACTGTGGGGTGGCGCCAGCACAAGCAGTCCGAGCCCTTGCACAGGGGCTGAGGGCCAAGGAAGCTGGTTTTCAAACAGACCTGCCCCTGCAGATGTCACCTCGGGTTGCCTTAGCCTGCTCCTCACAACTAGATATCCTCTGCTCAGCTTTCCCACCCAAGGCAGTTGCAGGAACTGAGAGTACCAGCCATTGGAACTTCAGCTCTCTGCTAAAGAACCCTGGTCCGCTAGCCTCGGATTATGTGATTCTTCCCAGGGACCAGCTCCCTGGGTGCAGGCAACTGGGAGTGAACTGACTGTATTGCATGACTCTGACAATGAATGTTGCTGTCCTAAGGTCTTCTTTTTCTTGTGATTCTTTTGTTCTATAGCGTCGTCCCCCAGACTACAGTAATTCTCAACAATGATCGGCAGAACGCCATTGTAGCCAAGATGGAAGACCCCTTGAGCAACAGGGCACCGGATTCCCTGGAAAATATCATTAGCAAGTCAGTAGCCATGCACCTCCCCACCTTCCCCTGCCACTGTAATGAGAATGAGTCCTGTCCCGAGCCAGAGCACAGCGCAAGCACGTGGTCCACCTCTCTGGTCGCAGGGTTGACGCTGGCGGGCACTGCCATAGCTCTGTGAGCTCTGGGAGGGCACAGTGCTTGGAGGGGCGGGGCGAGGCCCAGAGAGCGCAAGTGGCCAAGGGGATGGCTGTGCTGAGCCAATGTGTGACGCAGGAGATGGCAGTGTACTTTCACAGTGCCCAGCGGTCAGTCATGTCTGTCTGTGCCCATAGCAGCATGTCAGGTCATAGGCACCCTCTGCAGGCTTGCTACAGGACTTAAGCATGCTGAGTTCATGGCTCTTTTCATACACCTTTTCTTTTGGGGTATGTTGGACGGACCTTTGGTCAGAAATGTGTACTGGGGAGGCTGCTGCAGGCGGCCCTGCTCAGCATCTGGGCTGCATGTTCCCTGTGGGGCTTTGCTCTCTCTGTTTTACCATCTGTGTCTTTGTAAGTCCTGTTGTGCCTTTTTCTCCATCTCTTCTGCAGACTCTTGCTCCTCTAGCTTTGTCCAGGTTTCTCATCGTCTTAGTCCAGTTCTCCAGGTGGCAGCAGCAGTCTCGGTCCCGATCTGTGGGTGGCAGGGAGCTGGAGGGTCCCCGAGGCTGGCCAGCTGCCAGGGGGAGGATGTGCCTGCCGTGGGGCGGTGCTGAGGTCAAGGTCAGTCCCAGAGCGCAGGGGCCAGCGCAGGGTGGCATCCTGTGTGGGCGGAGTCCAGAAGCACCCTGAGGCACCCTCCCGGGGCGGCCAGGCGTGGAGCGCCTGTGGGACTCTGCTGACGGGCCCTGGTGCTTCCTTCCCTCTCAGGGTACTTCCCACGCTGAGGGTCGCTCAGAACTCAGGTCACGGTCTCCAAACAGCCCTGTCCCCTGCTCACTCTGCAGCTGGCCGTGTGGTCCTTCTCTGCCAGCGGGACTTTGCTGCTGCGGGTCAGGGCCCCTGCTCCAAGGGTAGCTCCCGGGGGATTCCTGGGATTCTTGACGGGGCTGGGAAGCCCACTCCGTGGTGTGTCTGTGGGAATCATTGGAGTGCGATTGCATTTTTGGAGGCTGACTCACCTCTCGGGTGTCTGGCAGGATGGAAGGAGTGATCCAGGCTCTGGGCGCCCCCTCATGTAGTCTTTCCCGCAGCGGCCCTCCCAGCAGCTGCTCGAGTCAGCACTTTGCAGGCCAGGCTCCGGAGTCAGGGAGCAGCATGCTAGGCTGGGGCACAGAGAGTTACCGTGGGGTTTCTCTGGGGATGTAAATATTTTCTTTAAATGTTTGTTTTCTTTTATACCGTTTCTTCCAGCCCCAGACTCTTTCTGCATTAAATTGCTGTCGGTCTCTGTAGACAGAGCTGTGTGGGGAGGCCCACTGGTCCCTGGTCCGCGCCCAGGCAGAGGTGGGGTCAGGCCCAGGCCCAGGACTGTTGTGAGTGAGGCAGGGCTGGCCACGCTGTGTCCCTGTCACTCTCACAGCAGGGGCTGTGTGCTTTTTCCCCTCAGTGCTGTGCCTGGACGTCGGCAGAACACCATTGTGGTGAAGGTGCCGGGTCAAGACGACAGCCACAACGAAGACGGGGAGAGCGGGTCGGAGGCCAGCGACTCGGTGTCCAACTGTGGCCAGCCCGGGAGCCAGAGCATCGGGAGTAACGTCACGCTCATCACCCTGAACTCGGAAGGTGTGTGCCCAGCGCAGCCCGGGCCGCAGCTGTGTTCTCACTCTCGGGGGAAGGATGTAATCCAGCATTTAAGAAAGGGGCAGCACAGCATGAACGTGTGAAGAGAAGGTCGAAACAACGTGAAGTCTCTGTGACCCTTCAGGGGGCACGGCCTTCTGGGTCTTCTCCGTGGCAGCGTGCACACTCCGTGGCTTTATAGTTCACTTTCCCTCGATAGAGTAGAAATCTCTCCACATTGACACAGGTTTACATGCCTATTTTCAGACCCACTTCTTTCTTTCTTTTTTTTTTTTTTTATGGTACTGGGGATTGAATCCAGAGCATTCACACTGAGCTAAATCCCCAGCCCTTTTTAATTTCTTTATTTTGAGCCAGGGTCTTGCTAAGTTGCCCAAGTTGGGCTTGAATGTGTGATCCTCCTGCCTCAGCTTCCCAGAATTCTAGGATTATAGGTATACACCACCTGTAATCTAGTTTTACTTCTCTTAACTGTCCTGGGTGCTTTCTGATGGTGGCAGCCGGGACATTTCACCATTGCACTCCAAGCAGGGTTATGGCTTCTGGCAACGGGTCTTTGCCTCCCTCACATGAATATCTGAATGCAGATTCTGCCCAGAGGGCGCCCACTGGGCTTAGAGAGTGCCGTGTGCCTAAGCCCCATGAGTGTCTCCCAGCAGGGCTCTGCAGGAGAGGTGGGTGTGGCTGGGGTGGCGTCTGCCTGTCTTCCCGGGCCTCCTTTGGGGCTTCCTGGGCACCCTGAGGTGGAGAAAGCCCTTCTTTCCCGAGGGGTCTGAGGTGCCCCCTTGCCTCTCCCTCAGCCTGTGGTCGCCCCAGTGTGCCTTCCAAAGACCTCGTGCCACCTGGGGCCCTTGTGCATCCTTGGTGACTGCTGTAGATAACATGGAGAAAAAGGAGAGAACTCAGATTAGGCTTTGTGTCTCAGAGTTCTGAAGCTCTCGTCTTATTGACTAGTAAGACCGTGTGAGGTTTTTCTCCTTCCACATCTGATTTGTTGCTTTTTCCTGTAAACAGTACAGCAGTAGACTTTTTTTCCTGAGCAGAGATTTTCCTGTGAGAGGCTTGTTATTGTATCTCAGACACTGGCAGCGGTGTGTTTCAGAGATGGCTTGCACCTCTGCTATAAATGCTTGAGAGACAGAAGTGGCAGCAACCTTTTAGAAACAAAATGGAGATCTATTCTATTTACCGTAAAGTTGACCCTTTGACAGCACACATTCCTGTGGTTGCTCAAATCTGGGTCTCAAGGGTCCCGAAGGGCCAGCCAGTGGCACTGCTGGGAGGTAGCTTAACCTCTAGCAGGGGGCCTGTGCACATCACCCGACTCCAGCCATCCGGACTCTCCAGTTTTAGCTTTTGCTTCCTGGCCGCACAGCATGGAAGTCTCTGCCGCAGGTGCTGTGTTGCCACAGGGCCAGAGCCCCAGGGCCAAGTGAACATGGACTTAGGCCTCTGAAACTGAGCTGTGAACCAGAATCAACTTCTCCGTAGGAGTCAATTTATCTCACCTATTTGTTGTAGTAACAGAAAGCTGTCACAGTGGCCTTTAGTACATTTACAGGATGCATAATCAGCATCTGTACACAATTCATGGAGAAGAAGCCCCACCGCTGACCAGCCCAAGGCCCTTTGAACTGCCAGTCTGCTCTGCCCCAGGGATGCACGCATTGCGGACCTCCACATAAGCGAGTTGTGTGCTTGTAGAGAGTGCTGGTGCTCCCTCCCTCTCACGGCCGTGTGGTAGTCCACTGTAGGGCAGAGGCTGCACTCTGTGTACCTCCCATCCGTTGATGGCATTTGTACTCTTTTTCACCTCTTGGCTGTTGTAGAGCACAGAGCTGTGAATGTTGGTGTGCTGGGTTTTGTGCATGGATGATTTTGAGGTCAGGGCAGCTGATTCTTTGACACTGGTTTTGAGGAGAAGAAGGGGAAGAAGGGTGCTTCTGATTCCCCCTCCCCTCATGGAAATGGAGCAAGGTCACATTGCAGCACGGTAGAGAGGACCCAATGTGCTTCTGCCTTTTCCTGTGGATTTCGCGAGGACACCCACAGGGGCTGCTCACCACTAAGGCCTGATGTTCATTTGGTGTGAGCTAGGCTGGCGGATGAACAAAGTACTTGGTATTAGGGAGTCTGGGAATCTCACAAAAATAAGAGTTTCTCGTTTAAAATTTTGTTCATCGTGTGACCAGTGTGAAATATATTCCTCTGGGCAAACAGCACATTGGAGCCAAAATGGATTTAGGAAGAGGAATCACGTTTGGGGTTTACTTGGTGTTATTAACACCATAAGGAGGAAGTCCAGGTTTTCTTTGTATCTGAGTAGGAGATGCTGTTCTGTGTGAGACATACTGCTGCTGTTGCTGCTTCTTCAAATTTTCTGGTGCTAGGCCCTGAACCCGGGGGTCTGGGCACTGAGCTCTATCTCTAGCCCTTTTTAAATTTTGACACAGGGTCTTGCCAAATCACTAAGTTACCTAGCCTGGGCTTGAACTTGCAATCCTCTACCTCAGCTGCATACTTCTTTAGCAGAGGCTTCTAGCAGAATTTTGTGACCATGCTGAAAGCTGATTGTTTCCACCATGGTGACTTTGATATGGATACAGTGTGGGGTTAGGATTGGGTGGACTGGAGACATTTTTCTAATTTAAGATTTTACTTCATTTTGAAGAATAGTTCCTAATTCAGAACCATCCTGTTTTCTCGCCCATTCCGAGAAAACCTCTGTGGTGCCTCTGCCTCGCTGACCTGGGCAGTGTGCACCCCACAGTACGCTGCTGTGAAGGGGACTGGCACAGGGGTCTGGGGAAGACTGCAGTCAGATGGTGCCATCTCTACATGATCGCTGGCTGTGAGTGCCGGAGAAACAGGCGTTACTCTGGGCCCAGAGAGCGGTGTCTGCCCACGCTCTGCGCTTGCTGGGGCACAGTGGCCGTCCCACCCGGTCCTCCCCAGCTAGCGCCGCTGCTCGGCAGGAGGCCATTAGAGAAGCATCGGGCCCAGCGAACTCTGGCAATGGGCTTGTCTTTGTGTTTAGTCTTCCTGGTCCCTGATAAGAGCCAGGATCTGCAAGTGGACAGATTGTTCTTGCCTTCTTCGGTAAGTATTTGAGTGCTTGAAATCTTAGAGGACCACAGATTTCCAAGTGATTTTTAAGAATTCCACATGCTGTTTTATATTAGACATTAGTCCACTTATGATACCACCATGTTTTATGCTAGTTTTTACTTGGGCTGTTGCATTTGTTGGTGATGTGAACGCTGTTCGAATGAGAAGGAACATAACCTCTTTCTGTCTGTTCCCGCGCCTGTCCTCAGGTGTTGGACCCCTGAGTGTAAAAGAGTGATTGTCCAAAGCTCTGGCCCCCCCAACAATCCAGTTACAGCTGAAGTGCAGTCTTTCCCTGGTACAACTAAGCTCTTAGGCTTTATATGTGGGATTAGTCAAGTCTTGCAGGGATTATTAAATGCCCACAGAGCAGTAATTTAAACCCTTTATTATAACTGTGACTAAATCCCTTAATTAATGATCCCATTCTTGGTGCATTTTAGCTACTTTATTTCTGTAACTCAGCCAACCTCTTAGCCCTTACCCACTGAGGTGGGAGGCAGGCCAGGGCAGGGTCTGAGTCCTGCTTGAAACTTTGACCTTGGTTTGATCTTTTGGCATCGTCGTGACTAAACGAGGCTTTAGAGGTGACTTAACCAGGGAGCGCAGGGCTGATTGATGGCAGATGCTTGTTTGCTTGGACCCTGCTTATGGAGTGACCACATGGGCCAGGGTGGCAGAGTCCTTTTACTAGTGATTAGTTTTTTCACTGTAGTGGTAAAGTCTTTATAATACAGTTGTTGATCTGAAACTGCCTAGTCTAAAACAAAAACATTAAAAACAGCAAAGCAAAGGTAGCTCATATACCCCCCAAAAGCATTTGAAAAAAAGGTGAAATGTGCTATTCTAAATTGACATTTCTGTAGCTTATGGTTTGTGGAGAGTCAGTGATGTGGATTTCTACAACGCTCATGTTCTGTGTCACATAATTATAAAATTGCACCACGGCATCTCCCTGGCACTCAACGCTGTCCTCCGGTGTGCAACCTGCACTCAGATCTGACGTCTTTCTCTTCTGGTCTAATCTTCCGAGCTACGTTTCCCCCCGTAGTGTGTGAGGTGTCTGCTCGTTCACACATGCACGAAGGTCGTGCGGAAGCAAGGCGTGTGACGTCACAGCAGCCCAGCTTTGGGGGGCCGGGGTGGACCTTTGTTCTCACCTGAACTGTGGGGTCCTAGAGAACTCAGCGCAGGACGTTTTTGCGGACCTAGCAGCACGAGTTACACAGAGGACTCAGTGTCTTCCTTGGTAGAGTGAATGCATTATTTGTTGTTATTAGTCCATGTGCTGGTGGGGGACGTAGTTTGGACTGTGCTGTGTGTGTAATAATACAGCCCAAAGGCAGCCTTTGGTTATTTTGTAAATGTATTCTGAGTGCTGTTTACTTGTTGAACCACTTTTCTCTGTTTATGCAGTGTGTTGCTATTGGGATTGGTAAGCAGTGTGGACAGGCTTTTACAAAGCCGGGGTGAAAACTACTTTTTTTTTTTTTTTAAAACTACTTTTTGATACCAGTGGAAAATACTACCAGGGAATCATGTATGAGCATGGATCTGTTCTTCAGACTGGCCTGGAGGTGGCGAGGCCGGCCTTGAGGCCCTGACCTGACTGGAAGTTTGCTGTGTTTTGGAACTGACACCATGAGCCATCTTAGAACAGCCCGGAAGCCCTCAACAGGTCGAAGTCTTGTCTTCTTTTAGTTTGTTCACCGTCCTCTGGCTGGAGACAGCAGTGTGTCCCGAGTGACTCCCACCACTTTGAGGTCCTGGGACAGTCGGGCAGCTTAGGAACCCCTCAAATGACAGCCGCTCTCGATGAGGGGTGTGTAGAGGCCTGGCCCGTGACAGACACTGGTGCATCTGGGCCTCAGGCGCTTGGCTTATCTGAGGTGCTTGTGGGGCTCACATCGCCACGGTGATCAGCCGAGTTCCCGGGGCGCACGGTTAGGGCCAGCTGGCAGCCTTCGGGACTGCCCCTTCTGCCGTCTGCTTGCACTGTGGAGTGAGAGTATTTGTTGTCAGCTGTGCTGCAGGTGCTTAGCAGGTGTGTCCTTGCTGCACACAATGACTCCGTGGTGGGAATGGGGTTGTCCTGGAGACGGACTGGACTCAGCGGACTTGGGTGGTCCGGCGCTGGAAGGAGGTGCCTTCTTGGTGTGGGGCTGTTCTTCCTTTTCTCTTCCTCCTTTGCGGGGCCTGACAGCTCTTCATTGACCTTTGGCTTGGCCTGGGCAGTGGTTGCATTCTTGTCTCAGTGCTTTCATCTGTCCATTTTGTTTTCCTGGAATCTAAAATAGACTCTCAAAGCAACTACTTGCATTCTGAACTGTGGTAGTGGCAAGAAAATTCAAATTACTGCTGAGAGTTTTTCTTTTTGGTACCGGGGATCGAGCGAGGCAGGCGGTGGAACCACTGAGCCAAATCCCCGGCCCTGAGTGTTTTTCATTTTAATAGATTTTTCAGAAGTGACAATTTCCCTAAAGATTAAATGATTGAGTAGAAAGCAAGTTGGGGTTTTTTTTTTGTACTTTTAAAATAAAACTAAGGGCCGGGGATTTAGCTCAGTGGTTTCGCCACCTGCTGCTCAAGGGCAAGGACCCGAGTTCGATCCCCAGTACCAAAAAATAAAAAATAAAAAATAAAATAAAACTACTAGAAGCCAGGTGTGGTTGGCACATGCCTGTAATCTAGCACTCAAGAGGCTGAGGCAGGAGGATCGCTGTGAGTTCAAAGCCAGCCTGAACTACATAATGAGACCATTTCAAAACAACAACAGCAATAACAACAACAGCAGCAGCAGCAGCAGCAAAACTGAAAACAACTAGAATTTATTGTTTCGATGCACAATCAGATCAAGACATTTTAGTGAAATAAATACATTCTTCCCAAATTGCCTCGATGCACAGGTGCGTCTTGTTTCCCAGTGGAAGACATGATTGTTATGGCGAGCAGTGGGGCTCCAGGCTGGCCTGCGTGGCCCCACACCCAGGTCTGAGTCCAGCGAAGCACTGACGGTGGAGCAGGAGCTGAGGAGCCAGTGCAGCTGCTATTCCTGTGGTCAGGACGCGTGCCTGGCCGTGTGGGCGTCTTCCCTTCCTATGCAAAGATTCCCAGTCATCTTTTCTTTTTTCCTAATAGGGAAATTTGAACATAGAGAAAGTTGAATAATCCAGCACTTTATTAGGAAGCAGGTGTGAACGATGCTTCCGACTCAGTACAAAGTACAGAGCAGGTGTCGTCCAGCCAGGGAGGGCTGTTGGGGAAGGCTCTGGAAAGGCCGAGTTGCCCTGTTCTCAGCAGCAGGGCTTGAGCTCTTGCTTCTGGGTTAGGCACTGCCTCTTACTTTCGCTGCGACCAGGATGGGAGTCTTGGTTTCTGCAGGGCTCCTGCATGGCCTCCCCTGCCTGTGTTAGGAGCTCAGGCCTGCGGCTGGGATTTGTTTTTCTTTGTGTTGTGGTAGTATTGGGGAGAGAACCCAGGACCTCCTGCATTACAGCCAAGCGCTCCACCACTGAGCTACATCCCTAGCCACGCCATCTCTGTTTCTTAATCTTTTTTGAGGGGCCAGGGATGTAGCTCAGTGGTTCCGCCGCCTGCCTCGCAAGCACAAGGACCCGAGTTCAATCCCCAGTACCAAAAACAAAAAAACAAAACAATCTTTTTTGAGACAGTGTCTCAGTAAGTTGCTCAGTCTGGTCTACAACTCGCCGTCCTCCTGCCTCAGCCTCTTCAGTAGCTGGGCTTATAAGTGTGCAGCACCACGCTTAGAGAGGATGCGGAGGAGGAAGGTGGGGATGCATTGCTGACAGGTGTGGGTGGGAGCATGGCTGTGGTTAACACATACTGACGTGCAAGTGGGGACTTAGAGAATGGGGCTTGGAGTTCCTGGAAGCACCAACTTTTTCACAGCTGAGACAGAAACCACTGAGAGCACAGGGTCAGTTGACTCAGGCCAGGAGGAAGCAGACTGCAATGGAAGCAGCAGAGAGGGAGACTCAGTCTTAGAGGGACGAGGACAAAGGAGGCTCAGGGTGGCTTGGTGTTTGGCCTTGTTGCCTTGGTGACCTGAGCACAGGAGGCAGCTGGCTTTGGGGTGCAGGTGCACCCAGTGTCCTTTGAACTGAAGGTAGCTCTCCAGCAGGACATGTTCGGGGCAGCCGCAGTGGCGGCATGGGGGTGCCTGTGCCTCTGGTGATGCCTGGCAGGCCCCACAGAGGACCAGGGTGTGGACAGCGCCCCACACGAGCTGGTCTTTGCGCTGGGAGGCTGAGCCCGGAGCTTGCGCTCACGTCATCACAGCTGGCCTGGATCTTCCCACACAGTCCCAGCAACACTTGGCCACGGTGCGGACTCATTGTTTGGAAGCAACTGCTGGGCTCTTGTCCAGTGTTTACTTTAGAATCATCTCAAAAGGGAGAGCTTGGCTGGGTGGAATTCTGCACTCTTGTTATCCCTGGGAAAGGCCATGGCGGCCTTCGGCTTTTGGGGCATTGAAGCCGAGCTCCCCACTCACTGTTCCTCCAGTTCTCCCTCATCCAGGCCCCCACTTCTGACAGCTCAGGGCACAGTGTCCCTCCTGGCGTTCTCCCATTGGATCCTCACACTTCTGACCTTAAGTATTAAGTACAGAGATGCTTGGTGTCAGCAGAACTTCTGTCCTAAGTTTCATCTTCGGCCTTGAGGACCCCCACCCCTCAATTGGACTGCCGCAGGGCAGGGTCCTCCCGCATGCTCAGTGTCACTGAGACCTGGGCTGAACCAGGTTTCAGTTTTTCTGATAATTAAATCCAGTGGCCAGCACGTAGCTGTCCAGAATGTATTAGTAGATGAATTAATAAGTCCCATGGTATCCAGAGCCTTAACAGCCCAGTGACAATCTCAGCCCCGAGGGAGCTCTACTGAGTGCTCCGTAGATCGGGTTTTTGTACAAAGGCTGAGTATGATTGGGGCTGGCTGACCTTCAGAAGGATGCCTGTGCTCCTAGCACCAGCTCTCTACTTCTGCGCCATTGGTGTCTCTGAGAAATGTTATTATGAATCTCTTATTCTGAATTCTAAAGTCAGACATGTTTATAGCCACGAACCAGCCTTGGTGTCCTAGCAGTGCTTCTGGCCCTGGGCCCCTGCCTGCCCCTTGCCAGATAGTGTGTGTGCATGGCCAGGGCTCTGGTCTCACCTCGATGTTTCCTGGTGGTCTTGTGAGAGGCTACCCACATGAGGCACAGCCTGAGTCTAGGTCAAGGGCAAATAGCACATGAGCCCTGGCTCTTTGGTCCCAGAGACCGCAGTGTACCAGGCCCTGCCTCTCCCTCAGACCTCCCTCAGGCGCAAGACTCCAAGGTCATAAGTCAAGGGACACAGTAAGGAAATGTAGCCCTGAGAATAGAAAGGAATCGCCGTGCACCAAGCAGAGGGTCGGAGAAGGTACTTTCCATGGGTAGACTCCTTGTGTATTGCTGGGTAGGCTGGGGGAGGAGGGACGGGGCCCTCAGGAGAGGACAGGGCACCAGCCAGTCTGGAATATGGCGGTGGGCTCAGTGTGAGGAACAGAGTGTGCTGCGGAGGCCAGCATGTCCCCAGGGCCTCCCAGGAGTGCTGTGACCACAGCTAACTCGCCTGTCTCATGGAGGTCGTGCTGAGCTTCTGTGTGGCTTGCACTTGGCATGGGTCAGAGCAGAGATGAGTGTACAGAGTCTTCACCTGTTCTGCCAGACAAGTGTGCTCGTGGAGACCCAGGGAGGCGCTTGCCATCCGGTCTAGACGGGGTGAAGCTGCAGCAAGCAAAGGGTGTCCGTGTCTGTGTTCTAAGCTCTTTGCCCTGCTGGGGTGTAAAGAGTAGTGTTGGAGCCCAGAGCTTATTTGCTCTCCTGCCCTGGTCTCAGGGCGACCTGGCTTCTGTGAGGCCGGGCAGGACCCTTGCGTGCTGCAGAGGCTTCTGTTATGGGTTCACGTGGCAGCCAACTGCTCAGGGTGCAGTGAGCTCGGCCAGGACCCCGTAGGCAGCAGAGGTGTGGAAAGCTCTTGCCGCTCTGCATGCCAGGAGCTCCATGGAAGCCAGCCTCGTCTTGAGTGCAGAGCAGGGGTGTTTACATGACACAGGCTGTCACACCCATCTTCCTCAAGTGGCTCAGGAGAGCAGGGGCCGCCTTCCTGGAAACAGCATCGCCTCCAGTCTCCATCAGACTCCAGCTCCCCTGGTGCGTGCAGGACCCCTGCACTCCTGCGGCCTCGCAGGACGGGTGAGGGACCAGCCGCACCATGGTGGCTTTCCTGGTCTGCTTGGCCTGCTAGACTGTGGTGCTTATTCAGAACCTCGCTAACTGGGGATTCCCGCTTCTCTTTGCAGAGGATTACCCCAACGGCACCTGGCTTGGTGACGAGAACAACCCCGAGATGAGGGTGCGCTGTGCCATCATCCCCTCCGACATGCTGCACATCAGCACCAACTGCCGCACCGCTGAGAAGATGGCGCTCACGCTGCTGGACTACCTCTTCCACCGCGAGGTGCAGGCCGTGTCCAATCTGTCCGGCCAGGGCAAGCACGGGAAGAAGCAGCTTGATCCACTCACCATCTATGGCATCCGGTGTAAGCACAGGTCTTGGTTCCTGCGTGGGGTGGGGGTGGGAGGTGTTTGGAGAGCCGAGTCGGGACCATGTTTCCAGGGCTGGAAGGATGGGGGGATGAGGGGCCCTTTAGGTAGGGGGCAGGTGTTGGGTCCACATTGAGCACTTTCCCGCAAGGAGAAAGACTTGGGAAGTGTTCCTCGGGGACTTTCAGGTCCACCCTTGCTCGTCCTCAGGCCGCTCTTGACGAAGGGGAGCAGAGCCCTGCCTCCCGCTAATGACGGCTCCCCTGAACAGCCCAGTGGTAAGAGCACAGTGCTGCCTGCCTCCCCTGTTACAGGAAGGGTTCAGCCCTGTCGTGCTAGAAGCCAGTCGAGCCCCAGGCCTGCCCGCACGGTCCACGTGTCCTCCCTTTGAGGAGAACACCGGCACAAGCTGGTCACTGGCTTCCCACTGATGACACTTGGAGAGGGTATGGGACACTCAGACCCTCTGCGTAGTGCCTCTGGCCTGATGCCCTAGGGGCACGTCCCAGAGTCCCCAGCTTCCAGGGGCCATCCAGTGGTTTCTGGTGAGGCAGCGTGGAGAGGGGTGGGCACGGGAGCTGTTGCGCTGAAGTCTAAGCCTTTTTAGCACATGCTCTTCCGCCCCGGTGGCGGGGGGGCCTGCCCTCTGCAGCCATGATGCCGGTCCATGGCAGCGTGAGGGCTGAGCTTTCCAGGAGTGCCACAGAAGCAGTGGGGTCCCTGAGCATATGGCCACCACGGCGGCTGAGGCTGAGAGTGTTGTGGGGAATGCAGAGTTTATGGAAGTTGCTGAGGAGCGCAGCCCAGGCCCCCTGATCCCCGAGCCAGCCCCGTGGTGCCTGTCTCAGAGAGCTGACACCTGTGAGCCCCCACCCAGGTCGTGAGGTGCACTGCTGTGGCCTGGCTCGGAGCAGGGCCTACAGGTGTTTCCCGAGGGCACGTAGTGCGTATCTCAGGCCTCTCTCCAACTGCTCTGAGAGCGTCAAGGGCCAGACATAAGCAAACAAATGTGGCTGTATTCCAACAAAGCATTTATCTTCAAAGGCAGGCGGCAGGCTCTCCCGGGCAGTTGGCCCTGGCACACCTGTGCGTGTGCCCATGAGACCTGTAGATTGCTTGCTAACAGGCTGCCACGTGAAGTGTTTGATTGTGGGGACCAGGGTGTAGGGTGTTGTTGGGATAGAGGGAAGAATGGGAGATGGGGCCTGGTCAGACACGGACCGGTGTCTGTGATCCAGAAGGTAGTGTTAGAGGCATGGCAGTTAGAGAAGGCAGCCTGGGCAGTGGGCAGCTGGCACAGAGGTGCTGGCATGCGGGGCCAGTGCTTTGTGGGAGCATTAGTGTTCTAGTCACAGCACTTGTTCCCAGAGGTGTCCCTTTTCCTCTGGGAGAGGGCAGGGTGTCCAGATGTGCAGCTAGAGGGTGGGTGGCTGGCTCTGATCAGAGGGCTATCTTGGGACTTCAGGCCCAGGCCTGTGGGGTTCCTGGACACGGGCGTTTGGGCAGTGGCACAGAGAATGCTCTGGAGAGGTGGTCAGGGCCTGTCAGAGTGGCACTTAAAGCAGAAACACAGGTGATGAGTGGGCACGCTGTGTTCATGGAGCCTGCTCAGGCTGGCGGACAGTGCTGGTCTCAGTGGGGACAGGAGTCAGCCTTCCTGCCACGTGACTGCACAGTCCCAGTCCCAGGCTGGCAGGAGGCAGGAGATGCTCTGGAGCCTGTGTCCCCCACCTTCTCTGGGCCTGTGGTTGTGCTCACCACATCACCCCAACCATCGCTGTGTATCTGGCTGTCCCCGCAAGGCCTCATGTGCTCATGGGTGGGGCTTCGGGGAGCGGCTGGGCCCTGGGTGTGGTCCTGGGTTAGCCCACTGAGGGTTTAGAGCTGGGTGTGCTGGTGGGAGGGGAGCCTGGTGGGCAGAGGTGTGGCCTGGAAGGGTGTAAATGCGTCCCTCCCCTCTCCTTGGTGGCGCTGCTTCCTGCCTGCCCTGCCAGGGTGTAGGGGACAGGGAAGGGGACATTACTAGAACCTCTGCAGTGAGGCCTAGTCTCCTGCGAGCCACGGCAGCACAAGGCGAAGAATTGACTTATACAGGAAAGGTAGAAAAGTGAGACTTAGAGAAGAAGCTGAGCTTTGGGCCTGATCAGTGCTGCTCTAGGTGCAAAGAGGAGAGCAGTACATGGGGGGAAAACAAATGTAACAAATGACTCAGGACAGAGTTAAGTATGTCGGGAGAAACAAATGTAACAGATGACTGGAGAGCAGGGGAATTCCTAGATGAATGAGGAACTATGCAGATGAAGATTTTGTTCCTCCCAGGATGTCTTCAGCTGCTGTAATCTGGTCCTGGAGCATCACAGCATCACCGCATCATCGGAGTCTCAGTTGTGACCGGGGGTCAAAATGGAGTTATGTCTCGAAATGCCCAGCTGGCCTGTAGGCAGGAGAACTAGGCCTAATCAAGTGATTTTTCCCCAAAATTATGTAGCATTGCTCCTGCACCAGGGACTGTTTCTCCTCTCCCATTCCACCTACCTTAGAGCCAGCTGCTCATGAACTGAAACCTCTGCACACTGTAAGCCCAAATAACCCTCTCTTCCATTAATCTGTGGTGTCAGGTATTATGTCCCAGCAATAAGAAAGTCACTAGCCCCACAGAGATGCCTGGGAAGTGCTGTCTACAGCACACGCTGGCAGTGTCATGGGCAGGGCTGGCCTTCAGGAAGATGGGAAAGCAGTGGCCGGCCCTAGGGCCTTTTGGAGAGACTGAGTCACTGCTGGGGACGGCCAGGGCTTGGCCATCCAAACAAGAGTCAATGAGTCCTGGGCTTCTGGCAACATGAGCAGTACTCAGCCCTGCAGTACTCAGTTTACCGTCGCTGCTGCCTGCTGGGAGATGCATTTCTTTCCTGTGTAGCAGGTGACTTCCCTGTCAGAAACTCTGGGGTCACGAGCAGAATCTGCTGGAAGCCTAGGTGGCGGTGGCCCGAGTGCTGTGGCGGAGCTGTGGTCGGGGCCCCGTGCATGGGCATGTGCAGAACGCTGCCTCGCCTCAGCCCTGCATGAGTTGCCGTATCACTGTCCAGGTGAGGAAGCCTGTGGCTTTCCTTGGGACGAGCTCCTATGCCATGTGCTCATGTGTCTGTGATGGGGGATCTGTAGAGCAAAGAAGGCTCTCACAAGCACCCATGGCCACCGCCCTGGTCATCCCCAGGAGTTGGAGAAGCATGGCTGCCCCTTGTGTGCGCTCCACGCAGTTGTGGTCGGCGCCTGGGAAAGCCAGCCTATAGAGAGCGGGGCAGGGCCGACAGAGAGAGGGCGTCTGCTGAAGTTGAGTCACGGCCTCGAGCTTGGGCCCTGCACGCTGACCCTTGTGTGTAGTTTCACTGGCCGGAGCAGTGAAAAGGCACCCAGCAGAGCTCTGCCCCCTGGGTGGGAGCTGTGCCTTTGGGTGACTGACTTTTTGTCCTGTGGCTGCTGTGTCCTTGCTGAGTAGACAGATCATGCAGGGGGATGGGGCTCAGAAGAGCCTCCTCGTGCCTGTCTCAGGTATCCAGAGCAGGTAGGTGTGCATATCTCCCCTAGGACAGGAACTGCCCATGGGCCTTCAGAGAACCTGGCCTGGATGTACTGCACTGGGCCCAGGGACCCAGGGCAAAGCTGCAAGGAGAACAGAGCCTGAGTCTGTGCATACACAGAGCCCGCCCTAGTGTCCGTAGGCTGGCTCTGACTGTGCTCCTATCCTCCAGGCAGTTCACACTGGAGGTGTGCTCTTGTGCAGAAGGAGCAGGCTGAATATGACCTCGGCCTGTGACCTTGGTGGGTCCCTCTGTGCTTCAGCTTCCTTGGTTTTCCAAGTGAGAGACCAGCAGAGCTCTGTGGGCTTCGGACGGGTGTGGTCAGCCCTCCCCACTCATGGAGCCCACTCCAGGGCCAGGGTGGTGAGTCAGGTCCCTCCTGCTGGGGTCCAGCCCCGCTGAGACTATGGTAGGAAGCCCCTCCTCCCTGCTGCCCACCCTGGCCACCTGTGTTGGCGAGGCCTTTGCAGGTCAGAGCACTGTTGCTGGTGGTCACATGGAATTGTTGAAATGTTAAAAATGCTTGTTTACCTTTTCCCCATCCGGCCCAGTTAATTCTTACTGCAGATTAATGCATAGCCTGCAAAATAAATGCATGGACCAAACTCCTGAGGCCTTAGTTTGGATCGCAGCGAGAGCGGAACTGGCTAACATCCCCCTGCCATTGTCCCCTTACCTCCCTCTCTGCTGCTACTTGAGTCTCACAGTGACATCTGTGGCTGTAGTGTTGGAAGCTTGCTGTTGGCGTTGTTCGACCAAGTCCTGCTCATCATGGAGAAAGTTTTGATTTAATCCTCTATTTTCTGTAAGCAGAAATAGTCTCGCTCTTTTTTTTTTTTCTGGAGGCAAAAATCTGCATTTTGAAACATACAGTTGGTCTTGTCTTTAAGTACTGTCTTTGTGAAATGAAGAAATTGGGTTTTTGAAAGGGGAGAGAGAGATTTGCTTTTTGGGATGTTGGCTTTTATAGGATTCCCAAGGACTGATGAACCTCTTGCTCTGAATTTGGGCAACTAACTAGTTTGTGTGCCTCATGTTATAACTTGGAGGAATTTGGAACATTTTCATGAGTAATGTCCTCTTTTTTTAGGCTTAGTTCTTGTGATTTTTTTTTTTTAAGCTGTGGATTTGGTAAGCTTCTGCTTAGATGATGCCGAAGAGCAAGTCTTCTCTGTGAGGTATCAGGAATAAAATGAAAGACTTCAGAATGGCAGTTCCAGACCTTTGAAGACATCTGTGAAGAATGTGGACATGGACAGTAGATCCATGAGGCCTCTTGGCACTTGGGGGAAGTTGGAATCATTTGCACCAAGCAGAAGTTGTATTCACAGGCAACCTAGCAGACGACTGGAGCTGTTGCTCTTAGCTCACCCTCCCCGAGATGTGGGCAGTTCTGGGGGAAGCAGCAGTTCCCTGTGGCACAGGTGGCTTCCCTCCTGCTGTGTCTCACACGGCATCTTGGCTGCCTAGGGCTGCTGGAACAAGTCTCGCGGACAGAGCCTGGAAACACAGGTGCTTGCTCTCTCTCAGGTCAGGACGCAGGCTCCCGAGGGCCAGGTCTTCACGGTGCCGCCTTGCCTCCTCGGTGGGGCTTCTTCCCCTCACCAGCATCCTGTGGTGACACTGCTCCGTGCCCCTGCCGCATGGCAGCCCATCATCGCAAGGCCTTCTTCTCCCTGTGTGTCCACATCTGTGTCGCTCCTCTCCTTGTAAGGACGCCAGTCCCACTGCAGGGAGAGCCCACGAGTGTGATCTCATCTCAGTTAATCACAAGGACAGAGGCCCTGGATCCCAGGGAGGTCGCATTCCGAGGTCCCGGGAAGGACCCACATTTTGGGGGAGCACTGTTCCACCCAGACACAGGGTGTGGGCGGGCTCTGAACATGGGTAATCAGAAGCTGTCCCTCATCCAAGTCTTCCTTGTGTGGGGTGAATGTGTTTGCTGGCAGGGCGTAGACTGCACACGGTGCTGATGTGGGTCTGCTGTGGCCAAGCACAGTCCTCGGTGGCCACTGAGTGCACCGTCTGCCTGCAGAGCTGGACGAGGGCCTGGTCAGACGGGCCAGCAGCCGAGCAGGCGCCGAGGGGAATGGAGCCCAGAGGAAGCCCCTCCTCAGGGGAACGCTGCTGGGGTGGGGGGTCGTCGGGGCCCTCCGTACACAGGAAGCTGAGCTGCAGGTGCTCACGGCTTCCTCAGCAGTGAGCAGGAGCACTGGGAGGGCGCTGCCTGCCTGGAGGTGGGAGCTTCTGGGTGCGTGGGGGCCTGGTGAGTTGGCAAGAGGAGCGTGGCTTCCTCGCTTTTCTGGGCCAGCTGCTGTCTAGTCCGTGTGTAATTTCAAGAAGTAAGTTGTTGGCACTCAGCTTCCCACTTTGCTTTCTCCTTGCACTTGAGATTTTATTAGCAGCGATCATGTTCTTCATTCCTATGTGACCGATAAACCAAACACGCCACCCACCGTGGCGCAAGATTCCTTTCATCTGCTCTTGCCCACAGCGCTGCTCGGGGCCAGTGTTCCAGGCTCATTCAGTGAGAGGAAGGATCTGGCTTTGCGGCTGGGCCTTTAGTGTCATGGTGGACACCTAGGGAGTGCAGAGGCCGGTGACGACAGAGAGGGATGCTTTCTGGGCTTACTCGGAAGCTCGCCGGGGAGGAGGGTGGGCACGGCTCCTCCCACACCTCGCTGGTGGTGGGGCTTCCCTCCCGGTGGCTCAGTGCTGCTCCGTGGGCGGCAGCAGCAGTGACTTCTTCCCTGCTTCCTGCTCCGTAGACCACACTGGTGGCCCTTCCCCTCCTAGCTCCATGGTGTGCCGTCCAGTTCGTGCCCTGCCAGGGCAGTGGCGTGGGCAGGCGAGGGCATCCTGGCAGGCAGATATGCGCATGAGATCAGCGTGCCCTTTCCTGCTTGGTCCCCAGCCTCCCTTGCCCTGGGCCAGGTGAGGGAGGGTAGTGAGGCCGCTTCCTTCCCCTTGGGTGCACGCTGTGAAGCCACCACTGGAGGGCAGGTTCTTTTCCTAACTGGCAGTTCGCCTCAGACCCGTCACTTCTGGCTTCTGCCTCAAAACCAACACGCGGGTAATGGTGTTCTTCCTTCAGGAACCATTTAATGTGCGTTAGAAGTTGCTGGTCACTGCTCAAGTTCTGTGGTGACTGTGGTCAGCAGCGTGTCCTCTTTCACTGAAGTGACCAGCGGGGTGACAGGAGGCCCTCTACACTTAGAGCTGTGAGCAGCACATGTCAGTCACTCAGCAGGCATTTAGAATGATGATTCGGTGATTGTCTTAGAGGGGACCAGAGTCAGAGTCCACAGTCGCCACTTCTTCGTGGATTTCCTTTTTGCAGGGTTGTTTTTCCTGATGCTGTCCGTCCAACCCCTCTTAACCCTCTGTCTTTTTTACCTAGAGCACAGAAATCTGGTTGTTGTTTCAGATAAATCTGCTCTAAGTATTGCTTCTAGAAAAAGTCAAGAGTTGTCTTTCAGAATGAAAGAAACTGTTGATACTTAATGTAGTACTTAAAAACCCAAACACTTCCTTTGTTTTGATTATTTTGAGTATTTTGGCCTCAGTAGGAACAGATATTTAGGCACTGGGCAGTAACTTAGCTCTCAGTAGATGGTCCAGACTCAGGGCTCCTACTAGTCAAAATTGGATGTTTTCTTTTTTTTAGCTCAGTCTTTTGATTGTTACAGCTGTGAATTTCATTCCCTTATTTTCCTGTTAATGGTATAGTCGAAGTCTAGCTAGAGAGGCACAGTGTTGGAGGAGAGAATGTCTTGTTCCTTCTTGTTTCCCTCGGTACAAAGAGGGGTCCTGTGGACTAGTGAGATGTGAGTGAGGCGTGCAGTGGACAGTGGCTCCTGGGTCCTCAGATCCCCACTGCTGAGTGGGGGCCCTGGACGCTGCTGGTGGCGTGCTGGAGCAATAGCTTCAGGCCATTTATTGGTGCGTGCCGGGACAGGCACGTGGGAACCGAAGGCAGTTCCCGTGTCAGCGAGGAGAGAGGAGCCGTAGCATTGAGTTTTGTGTGGCAGAGGGCAGCGAGGGCCCTGAAGGAGCAGGGTGCTCGAAGGGGCAGAGCGGGTGGAGGGCGGCGAGGTGCGCAGTGATGGTGGGGCTGCGCTCACCGGGAGCAGAGGACCTGGGGACCTGAATGAGCAGGGGGAAGTGGACGTTGTCCTGGAAAGCCCGGTCCGAGTGCCTTGTGAGGATCCTTGGTTTGATTCCCAGGCATTCGTGACATTAGATGCTCTGCATGCACGTAGGGCAGAAAAAGTTGGAGTGCGGAGTCGGGGAGCTGGTGAGCACCTCTGTGGGGCATCAGGTTACTGAAAAGTTCAATGCAAGGCAAGCACGTGTGAGTATATGTTGATGAGCGCTTGTATCTGATCTTAGGAGATCAGTTATTGACTGGCTAACTGCCTTCTCTGTTGAACGGACTTTCCGGATCATTGTGGATCCCAGAGGATTTCTAGCAGCAGGAATAGCAGGGCTCTGAGCAGTCAGCCCATGAGGTGCTCAGGACGACAGCCTGTACCTCACAGCCTCTGTGTGGGACGTGTTCTTTCAGGTCACCTTTTCTATAAATTTGGAATCACGGAATCTGACTGGTACCGGATCAAACAGAGCATTGACTCCAAATGCCGGACAGCGTGGCGGCGAAAACAGCGAGGGCAGAGTCTGGCGGTCAAGAGCTTCTCCCGGAGGACGCCATCCTCGTCCTCTTACAGTGCCTCAGGTAGGCAGGGGTGGGGCGAGCCACAGGGCCAGCGCTGGGGCCTCTGCCATGGGTCCGCGGGGCCCTGGTCCTGGGACCTGGCGTGTGCAGGGAGGGAGGACACCCCAGCCGAGGGCAGAGCGCCCCAGGCCTCCCTGGAAGTGTGCAGACTCGCATTCGGAGTCTCTCCAGGGACCGGGCAGGGGAGGTTTCCTCAGGGCCCCCTCTCCTTCCCTGAGTAGAGCCCGTGCATCTGGGAGGCTTTAATAACAACAGGATTAGTATCATTTGCGTGGAGGCTGCAGGTGAAGGTTGGGGAATGTCCAGGTTGTGCTCTTTAGTCTAACTTCGACTTTGTGGACTCAGGCTAGTCCTCAAAATAATCTCTTGGCCTTTTCGCTCAGGCTTGCTGGAGAGATTGTTTTCCCCAGGAAAATTCTCACTAGGGATGACCATATGTCCCCAGGACATCTCAAAACACGGAGCAAGTGTTTGGATTGAAGCAATCTTTCTAAGCTCCCTGCCGTAGCTCCTGGGCAGCAGCTCCAGGAACTTGAGGCCAAGTGGGGTCAGCTCAGGACCCCAGCAGCCTCGGCTGCGGCTCTCCTCAGCGGAGTCTCTGTCAGGGCTCTTTGTTCTGGAAGCCGCCCATCAGATCACCTGAGCTCTCCGCACTGCCCTTCAGGAAGTGGTTTTCTCCCAGTTGTTTTGGTTGTCACAGTATATTTAGCTGAGGCTGTTGCCAAGGTTCTCGAAGATGGAGGTGGCTGTGGGCCACACAAGCTGGCCCCTGGGTAGTGCTGTCATGAGTGGCATGCAGGGAAGCCACTCTGAGTGACAGGGCAGGCCTCGATCAGAAGCTCAGTCGAGGTGGAAATTGAGAGGGCAGCTGGTATGGATAAGATCCTCTTGGCAAATCCTGCAGCGCAAGGACTGTGCAGCACACACGGAAGGTCCCGTTTTTACTGAAACTGGGGAGCTGCCATGGACAGCGGTGGGAATCTACACGAGATTACCTGTGCAGAGGCCGCCTCTAGGTTTGGGTTATAATTCTCATCTTACTGAGCTCTTTAGGTCTTTCTGTGGTTTCCATATCACTTCCAGTAAATACTGCATTAGTTTTATAGCTTCAATAGTGCTGCTTAAAATTCAGGGGAGTAGGTGTTTGCTTTTAGTCATGACACAGTAGCAGAGACCGGAGTGAATCCATCTTGTAAAAACCTGGACAAAGTCACAAAGCAGTGGTGTAGACGTTGGCCATGAGGCAGCCCAGGCCATGGTCCCCAAGAGGAAGTGAGAGGGGACTTCCCTTAGTCTGGCCCTCTGGAGGTGCCAGTGGAGCTGCAGAGCACAGCTGTGTCTTGGGCAGAGAGAAGGCTGAGGCTGTGGGAGCTCTTGGCTCCGTTCTGGCTCCTGAGATGTTCATGCTGGAAGTAGGAGGCTGGTGTCTGAGCTCATGTTCCTACGCTCACACTGGGTCGAAACCCGTCCAGGTTCCCGCCAGCCAGAGACCCTCGATGACAAGTCTAGCTTCCATAGGGCAGCAGAAAGCCAGGCCTGTTTGTGGGGGTTAAGTGTTCCCAGAGGAAAAGCAGAGCTTAAAGACAGCCTCAGAAAGATCACATCGCGTCACAGGCAGCAGCACTTTTAATAGGAGACAGCAAAATTAGACACCCAACACAGTACCACAAGCTCTCTTGTCTCCTTTTATCCACTGTTGGTGCCCAGACGAGGCTGCTTTCTGTGGCAGTCTGGGGCCTGTCCTCCTTGATACAGTGCCAACTAACCAGCTGAGAGAAAGAACATGCTGTTTCTAAAGTTCATCGCCTTGTAAAGTGGTTGGCTCCATCATTGTCTGTCCTTTTACTCCGTTCTTGCTAAGGTGAGGGAGTGCAGAAGGTGTCCAGGTTAAGAGGCTGCGGGAATCTTTTCCAGTGTTCTTTTTTTATCTACTCTTGGGCTAACAAAGCCTATCTGCTATTTAAGGCATTTGGGTGATGGAAATAACCCGGTAAGATGTAACTAAGCCAGAATTCCACTAGTTTGGACTGACTGTGAGTCCACTTGGGGTTATCTTGTTTCCTTTGAACTATCAGCAGACAAAAGAAGAACTTTGAAATAAATATATAATGAGATTCTGAGCCAAGACTGGTCTATTTAAAGATGACTTGTTGCTGCCAGATTGAGCACAAGCCACAAAAGCACTAGTTTCAAGAGCTTTTTTCTTTTTAAAAATCAGTTTATTGAAGCATCTGTATTGTGGCACTGCTGTACGGGCTTTTACCTGTGCTTGAGTGTAAGATGGCTGGGTTTTAATGGGTTTTTTGGTTTTGGTTTTTTGAGACAGGGTCTTGCTATGTATTCAGGCTGGCCTTGGACTCAGCGATCCTCCTGCCTCAGCCTCCTGAGTGCTGGGACCACAGGTGTGCAGACCACCATGCCCAGCTGGTTCTACTGCTTAAATATAGTCTCAGGGGTGGGCTGGCATCCTAGTAGGGCACCAACTCGGTGGCTAGTGTTGTGGATCTGCAGAGGACCAGCTCTTGAAAATCCACTACCTGTGTCTGTGTGCAGCCGGCTTTGCATCCTCAGGTCGGGTCTGAGCATGAGGTCAGTGGTTGACGTGAACAAGTACTCAGTGTACACTGAGCACTAGACTTCAATATGAGTCCGTTAAGAAATGTAGATTTGCCGGGGATTTAGCTCAGTGGTTCTGCCACCTGTCTCGCCAGCGCAAGATCCAGAGTTCGATCCCTGGTACCAAAAAAAAAAAAAAGAAAGAAATGTAGATTTTTAGCTGCATGTGGTGGTACACCCCTATAATTCCAGTACTCTGGAGGCTGAGGCAGGAGAACCCTAAGTTCAACCCCATCTGAGGATCTTAGCAAGAGCCTGTCTCAAAATAAAAAAATAAAAGGAAGGATTGCAAATGTTGCTCAGAGCAAAGGCCCTGGGCTCAACTCTTAGCACTGCAAAAACAAAACAAATCAAAAACAAACGCATGGATTCAAATTATCCTTTATGTTGTGCAGTTGTAGTGAGCTCTTGATTAAGGGTAATTTCAATGGTTTGAATCTTAGATTTGCAAATCATTTGTATACTTACAAATCCTATCTTCTGTGGTTTTTTTAGAGTCCTACATATGACTATAGCTATATATATATATATATATAATTTTGGGGGGTGGGGTGGACTACCAGCATCGAGCTCAGGACCTTGTGCCTGCAAGACAGGTGCAGTGCCACTAGGCTAAATCCCCGTCCCTCTTAGTTATATTTTTGGTTCCAGGGATTGAAATCAGGTCCTTGTGCTTGCGGAGCAGGCAGCGGAACCACTGAGTTAAATCCCTAGCCCTTAGTTATATTTTTAAACCATTGGAAAAACATCAAAATCAATTGATTGTTTCATTAACAGTGAACAGACATTCTTTGGGAATCTGGCCTTTTAAGTATTTTGCTTATGTATCCTCTTAATGAAATTTGAAACTATTTTTTCCTTACACATTTTAAAGTTGACTTTTTAAAAAGTTGAGACCTACAATTTCCAGTATTGTTTGAAATAATGAAAAAGGATGTAATCACTGGCATGTTGTAAATAATATTTTTATTAGATTTGTTTTAAAATGTGTTCAGTGAAATCTCTATTCCATGGCTAATGCCTACTGTTAGCTATTAAAAATACCTGAGTTTGATCCCCGGTACCCCCCCCCCAAATACATGAAAAGCTTTTAATAGTTAGACATTTTGAGGCTGGTGGTATAGTGCAGTGATAGAGCATGTGCCTAGCCTGTGAAAAGCCCTGGGTTTAATCCCCAGTGCTGCCAAAACCCCCCAAATAAAGTTACATCTTTCTTTTTTCTCCTTCTAGTCATCTTTTCTTACAGAATTTCTCCCTACTACAATATATTTTTATGCTGCAGCGTTTTAGAAAGTGATCAATCATCATCATTCTCTGTAACAAAAACATGCATGAACGTTTTAAAAACGTTTTAAAAATTCATACTTCTTATTACAATTAAAAGGAATCAAACTATACAGTAAATTTTTAAGTTTTAAAAATTCATTGCAAAAAAAGGCACATTGCCATTAATCCCCCTGAATATTCCCCCTGGCTTCCAACACTTATCCCGTCGTTCGTTCCTGCCACTTTCTGAAGCAGTTCTGGAAGTGCTCTTTCATGTCTTCACAAGCGGTGGTTAAAAATACAGTGAGTGCTGGTGCCGAGTGCCATCCAGTGGAAAGGCAGCTCATAAAAACATGACACTGTGTCCTTATCCACCTTATTCACTGGGTCTGGCACCGTGCAGTTTCTGGCCCTTCCCGAAAGTCAAAATGACCATGAAAAGGAAATGTTTTGAATAGATTCAGGACAATGCAATGGCCATGAAAGAGGACTTCCAGAACTGCTTCAGAAAGTGACAGGAAAGATGGGATAAGTGTGTTTGAAGCAAGGAGGAATGTCTTCAGGGAGATTAATGGCAATGTTTTTACTGTAGTGAATTTTAAAAATTTCAACATTCACTGTGTGTGTGATATATATATATTTTTGGTACTGAGGATCAAACTTGGGACCTTGTGCTTGCAAGGCAGGCGGCGGAGCCAATCCCCGGCCCGCATTCGCTGTATATTCTGATCACCTCTTGCATTTTTCCATTGTGCAGATACATCCCGAGGCCCTGCATGCATTTGGCTAGAGCCTTGTTACACCGGTGGCCCTGACTCTTTACACCCTCTGGGCCCGATGTCGGGAACCTCAGTTACCCCAGACTTAGCATGGTGGCCCCGCCCAGACCAGAGACCTCTGGCTTAGCTAGGGTTGCGGCCTGGCTTGTCCTCTTCTGTGGGAGTTGAGGGTGAGGGACAAGAGGGGCCTGCTCTGTCGGGGACCCCTCCTGAGAACTGTTGCTTCTCTCCTTGCCCCGCAGAGACCATGATGGGTACCCCACCGCCTGCCCCCGAGCTGCAGCAGCCGCAGCCGCAGGCCCTGCACTACACCCTGGCCAATGCCCAGCAAGTGCAGATCCACCAGATTGGAGAGGACGGCCAGGTGCAAGTAGTACGTGCCTTCTTGGTGCTGGGGAGTGGGGGCTGTCTGGGGGGTGCTGGGGGTGTTGAAAGCTGGGGATGCCTGAGTGGAGCTGACTCAGGGAAGACATCATGGCCCATGAGGGTGGCTGCTGAGTGACCATGCAGTGGAAGCCAGGACAGGGCATTCACTGGTCTCCGGGCCCGTCCCCCGTCCTGCAGGAATGTGGTCTTCACCTACCTGTGTACAGCTTGACCAAGGCCAGGCCATTTTGGGTCCCTGCCTCTCTGCCTGTCCTCCTGGGACACACTGGCAGGCTGCACCTGTGGGAGGGGAGCACCGGCTCAGTGTGCAAACAGAATGTGCAGCCAGCTCTTAGGGAAGTTATAAACCCGAGTCACAGCCTGGGGAGTTTGTGCGGTCACCGTCATGTGATGGGGAGGGAGAGTTCGGAGCGGCGCGCTCTGACACAGCCTACGGGTCATGGTGACAAGGAAGCAGTGCATGTCCTATCCCAGCCAGTGTATTGGAAGGTCTGTTTCAGCTAGGATAGAATTTCACATACCATGATGAGTGCTCATTTCATTCAGCTGAGTTAAGGTTTAGAGGGTTATTTGCTGGTATCTATAAACACAAGTGTTTTCGTTGGAGTCTTTGGCTTTTTGGAGCCGTGTTTATTAGTGTTCTCGAGAGTTGTGTAAGAGTCACGGGAGTGCTTCTTTGCTGGAGAAATTGCCTTGTTCTCAGTGCCTCACACGTGTGATTCCCTCCCTTCCTGGTCGCCACTGCCCTGCAGCCTTCTAGGGCCCCAGCGAGCTGGCAGAGGGGTGCTCCTGGCATCTCCACAAGGCTTCTCTCTCTCTAAGCTGGAAAGAGCTGTTTTTCATTCTGATGATTGAACCCAGGGCCTTTGTACTAAGCTATATGCTCAGCTCTTTGTTTTTTTCTTTTTTTCTCTTTAATTTTTCTTAGAGTTTTGCTGAGTTGCCAGGGAGGGCTCAAACTTGGAGTCTTCCTGCTCAGCCTCCCAGAGTACTGGCATGATAGGTATGTGCCACTACGCCTGGCTATTTTTTTTTTTTTTTTGGTACCGGGGATCGAACTGGGGTCTTTGAGATTGCGCAGCAGGCAGCGAAGCCACTGAGCTAAATCCCTGGCCCCTGGATATTTTTTTTTTTTTTTTGGTACCGGGGATCGAACTGGGGTCTTTGAGATTGCGCAGCAGGCAGCGAAGCCACTGAGCTAAATCCCTGGCCCCTGGCTATTTTGTTTTAGTCATAATTCTAAGTTTCTGTTTCTCCCCTGTACATATCACTAATGTTCTTAAGTTTGCATGCATAGTGACATTTAAAGATAGGGCACGTTTTTCTCAGGACCCGTAGCTCTCTAGGAGTGACCACCGAGAGTGTTGTGTCCTGAGCATCGAGAGGTCACCTGAGGGGTGCAGACCCTGTGCAGGTCATGCTGCTGGTCAGGGCTCGTCCCTTCTTGAGTCACAAGCACAGAGCCAGGAACAGGGTCAGATGTGGTGGAAAACGCCTCGTTTCCTTGGTCTGTTTTTCTTCTGATGCTTCTTGGTGTCTTCTCTTGCTGTGGATCCCGCAGGGCCACCTCCACATAGCCCAGGTGCCGCAGGGGGAGCAGGTGCAGATCACGCAGGACAGCGAGGTGAGTGGCTTGCTTGGCCAGCTGCTGGCTTCCCGGGCAAGTCTGGGCTGCAGCGAGCCTGCAGGATGTCACGGGGGGAATGGCGGGAGCCGCGGTGACGGGAGCTGGAGTCTGCTGCGGGGACTCAGGGCACCCAGCGGGTCTGTGCCCAAGGAGGGCTGCAGATGGGGGCAGGCTCCGGGGAGGGCTCGGGCCCGGTGGACCCCAGCAGCTGTCAGCGGGTGGGTCGTGAGGGAGGACAGTGACACGGGATAAGAGGTGCGATGGGGCGAGCACACGAGGGGATTAATAGGGAGCAGGGAGAGCGAGGGCCCCGCATCCTCCCTAGTGGTGAGAGGCGCCCAGGAGCCCAGTGTCGCTGGGGCAGCGTCAGCCGGGACAGGGAGGGGTGGGCTGCCGGCCTCCAGGGCGCAGGAGGCCCAGACTCTTGATCAGGGCCTGGAATCTGCTTGTGAGCATTTGGTGAGGGAAAATACACTGCAGTTGGGTGTTTTTTGTTTTTTATTGTTGATGCTGAAAAATTCTTTAGACTACTTCTTGAATTTCAGTTTTTACTATCAGTTCTCAAAACCGAATCCCTCTTGTATATATAGTTATTTTTTGTCTCCATTAAGAATCAAGCACAGTAAAGTAGAGTGAATCGCTTGTGCATTGGTGGTCACGGCGGTGAGTGGCGGTGTGTCGCTCACGGTGCCGTGTGTCCGTACACACCTGGAGCCATTTCGTTAAGACGAGGCCATCTGCAGAGACATTGGCAGGCTCTCCCCTGGTTGGAACACACCTTTTTCACAGCGAGTGACTCCTGTCCAGTGCGTCCTGGGCTGTGCTGTGGACACCCCTGTGTGTGTGGCCCGTGTAAGGCCACAGCAGTGCAGCTCAGCCACAGGCAGGGACCTCGCTGCTCTGCCTCAGTCTTCTGTGAAGCTGAAGTTATTTCACATAGAAATTTTTACAGAATCATATTTGGGTTAGGGTGGAGGAAATGGGTATAATGTTGCGCATTTTGTTTTTATAAGAAAAAAAGTACCTAGAAACTCATCTTAAAATGTTTTGTGGTTTTGGTTTTTTTGTTTTGTTTTTGTTTTTTGAGTCAGGGTCTCGCTGTGTAGTTCAGGCTGGCCCTGAACTCACTGTGTAGTCCAGGCTGGCCTTGAACTCACAGTGATCCTCCTGCCTCAGCTTCCTGAGTGCTAGGATGACAGGCATGCCCCACCATGCCCCGATTGTTCTGTGGTTTTTACCACTACAAGGCCTTGAAGTTCTGTAGAATACACCATTTCCTGTGTGTCTTTGAAGGGCATAGGGAGGCTGTCTCTAACATAACATTCTCCTCTCTTGATGGTCTCCTCCTCTGGTCCTTTGCAGGGCAATCTGCAGATCCACCACGTGGGCCAGGACGGGCAGGTAAGGCTCCCTGTCTGCTCGCCACACGCTGCTGTGCTCCAGCAGCAGACAGTGCACTGCCCGGGACGTGCCACACAGGGCCAGGAGGGTGACGGGGAGGCTGCCCTGGGCTCACAGCCCTGGCTCTTTGGGATTTGATGCTAGTTTTTGCCTCATAGGAGAAACTTCCCCTGAGTTGATTGCCCTTTGCTGTGTATCTACATGAAAGTTGTTGACAGTGGCGTTTGTGCAGAAGCTGTGTGTGGGGACAAGGTGGCTTGCTGTTGCTCAGACTCACACTTCTAATGTAATGCCTGTCTCTGGAGAAGCAAAGGCACCCCAGCCCTTCACTGAACACGTCCTGTGGGGTTCTGCGCCCAGTGGGGTGCCTGCCCTGAGGTTCTGGGGAGGCCATGGCTGTCCTAGAGTGAGGAGCTGGATCTTCCTGGCCTCTCCCGTGAAGCAGTTTCTGATGAAGATGGTTCCCTCCTGCGTGATTAGGAGGCTCTGGCTGGGCTTCGTGTTTCACAGAACACAGCTCTGGAACTTGGTGCAGAGAGCCACACCCCCAGGCTCTCTCACTGCCTAGGTAATGATGCCCCTTGTTTTCCAAAACAGTGCTGCTTTGAGGCTTGGGTGTGCAACTGCCGGCAGCCTGGCGGGCCCTGCTCCTGTCAGTCCTGTGGTGCAGGACACGATATCCCAGGGTTAGGAACCAAAGTGCTCTTGGCCCCTGGGGAGGAGGCTGTGTGCCTGAAGAACTTGTTGGAATTGGGGTTTCTTAGTTTGAAAGCTTCATCTTATAAATAGGCTCTCCGTCAGGTAGTGCTATGAGATTAGTACATAAATGTGAAATCGCTGCTTTGGGAAGGGGCGGAGGGACAAATCCGGAGCACCACAGTGTCCCTGCTGCACGGTGCCCTCTTGGCAAGTCTCTCCGGTTCACTTCCTCCTGCGCGCGTCTCACGGTCGGTTGGGCACCCGAGAACCCACCTCCCACACGGGTCCATCTTTGTTTTTGAATGTGGTGATTTGCATTTACGCTGGGGGTGGAATTTGACCATACTTAGGATGTGCCTGGACTGTAATTTGTAAGAAAAGTGAAGTTCATTCCCTTTGATGCTCCCTTTCTTTGTATCCTGAGCAATTCCTGCTTGGAATTTTAAAATACAGCCAGGTTTTTGTCTTGCATTAATTAGTGCATTGCTTATGCTGGGACTGTGGATGGAGTGTCCCGTCCTCCCCAGGCCAGAGGCCCCCTCGGCTGGTTTGAGAGCTGCGGGTGCGTGTAGGGCGAGGAAGGGCTGTCGCACCGAGAGGAGCCAGTCAGAGCCCCACAGCAGCCTGTTTCTGGCGGCTGTCACTCCCTCCTCCACACTGCCTGTTGGTGGCTCCACTCTTCTTCTTAAGCAGCCTCACTGCAAACTAAACAAAACGGCCACACGGATCACTTTTTTATATTAAATAACAGTTTATAAATAAGCTGATCCTTTCTCTTATAAAATCTCCTGTTTTCTTCCTACCACCTGACTTCCATTATCCATCACATGTGTGGGACTTCATGTCAAAGCCAGCCATAAGTGGAAGCCAGCAGCAACACCCATGGTAGCTAACAGGGATTTCATACCTGGCACCCTCTCCTTCTTCAAAGGAGACTGCTTTTCGATTTAAATAAACAGTGTATGTGTTCCTAGGGAGCTGCCTTTCTCTGGTAAATCTGTTTGGCTCATCTTTTCTTGTTTTTGTGGAAATTCTGTCTTCATTTTATCATTTGGCCAGTTCTCATACTTATTAAGTTACTCTGCTCATAATGGCTTCATTTTCCAAACTGACCAGATAATTGTGCAACAGAGTGATGTTTCAAAGGGCACAGGACACCCTGCTCATCTTGACATCCCTGCCGGGGCTGCCTGGGGGTGGTGAGCCCCCTACAAGGACAGCGCTGCCCCCCCGGCCTGATGCAGCCTTGGGTCTTCCTTATCCTGGTGTAAGTATTGGTGTCTGATTTCCCGAAACTGACTGCACAAGGCTCATCCCAGGTTTAGAGGAGAAAGGTTTGGAGTAAGAGTGTGTTTTCCCAAATTGTAAAAGCCCTTGAGGACATATCTGTTACTGCTCTGGTTGAGTTCGTAGGCACCTGGCTTCCCTTCCCTGGCTGTGGGGAGATGGGGCCCCGGCAGGCAAGGCAGGAGGGCTGTGCCATGGTCTGGGGCTGGGGGCTGGGCCCTGGGCACAAAGGGTTGAGTCCAGGGAGGTTGCGGCCTCCTGCACTCAGCCTCTAGCAGGTGCCGCCTGCCCTGGCGGCTCTGCCATGAGCTCACGTGGCATGGCCCTGCCCAGTCTTGGGGAGAGCTGGAGGCTTTAGGAAGTCCCAAGGGCTGGTCGCTCCTGGCCCTGGGCCTCTGCCCTTGGCCAGTTGTTGGCTGTGCTAACAGCTGGTACCCTGAGGCCCTGCTGTGCATATAGTTCATGGAGCCTTTTCCATGACTGGTAAATGGCCCCGTGTTCAGCATCAAGGAGGTGAAGGTCCCTGGAGCCCTGACATTTAAGTTGCAGCTACGTCTTTGAGCTGCTTCAGCTGGTTTCAGAATTTTGCCTCTCCTCCCCTCATGACAACGGAAACCTCAGTGAGCCTGGCTCAGGCGTCTCCGGGGAGGGGAGGTTTGCGGGAAGGGGCGGCCTGGCCTCCCGCCTGCACCCTGTGCACCCTATTGTCGTGATCCTTCCTCGCCGCCTCCACCACTTCTCCTGGAGGAAGGTGGTGGCCATGTGGGTTGCAGTTGCATTTAAGATGCAGCTACCAATCCAGGTCCAGGGCTGGGCAGGCAGCTCCTGGAGTGCGGTGTGGGGCTGAGCCTGGGCCTTGAGCCGCTCAGTGGTTGAGGTTTCATCCCGGATGGTTCTGGTTGAAAGTTGACTGGAAAATTGGCACAAGAAGCTGATGGAAACTGCTGATTTCTTTTGTCGCCTGTAACCATCGATACCATCAGAGTATGGGTGACTTACCACATCGAGTGTCTTCTCTGTCCCTCTGGCTGGCGAGCTGCTCCCTCACAGCGAGTTATCGCGCTGGCCTGGAGGGACTTGGGCTGGGTGCAGGCTGTCAGACCCGGACGCCCGGCTCCATGACTGTTCTTTCTGGAGAAGGAACCTCCCGGCCCTAGTGCCGGCTGGCTATGCGGTAGGGTGGCGTGTTGTTTTTAGGGCTGTCGCTTTTGTTGCTCCTGAGTTTATTACTGTGCGTCACAAGTTGTGACATGCAACGTACTTCAAGTTGGACAGTTTTTGGCTGGCAAAGGCATTGTAATTCTTTCAGGGAGAGCTTGGTGAGATGATTCCTTCACATTTCCAGCTCCGACTGAGTTGGCTTGATGGTGTCTTGGAAGCACCGTGCTCTTAGCTGAGACCGAGGGAGCTTTAGAAGAGGCCCCGGGGACACCTGCGGGGTAGAGGGGCGTGCCGGCCTCTCCAGCCCTGCCCAGGCCGGTTCCCACGGCTCCACATAGCTAAGGAGAGGCGCAGGCCTTCCGCGCCAGTGGAGGATTGGTGTGGTGGGCTTCATCATGGTCAGGCACACTTTGAAGAGCTAATGAAAGGCTTCTGCTCCTGGGTGCCCAGTGTTGCGCCCACAGCCAGCCCCTCCATCCCCGGAGCCCCGCTGGGGAGCGAATGCAGCGGTTGTTGCAGTTCTCTGCACGTCCTGGCTACGCCGCCGAGGGGCCGTACCTGTGAGCTCGGCTGCTGCGCGCCAGGGGGAGGGAACCTGGTGACCTTCACGCTGTTCCTAAGTGCCAGATGATGTGCTTACCGGGAGGAGGCCGCCTCTGGAGTCCAGTGCCCTGCCCCACTGTTACTTCCCTTGCTTCCAGCAAGCACTGCTGAGCGACTGCTGACGTCGTTGTGCGTTCTGGGGAGTCTTTCCCTGGACTGCCTGGCCCTCAGTGTTGAAGCTGTTAACTCCCTGGCCTCTGGGAAGCTGCGGGGGAACAGCGAGGATGTTCTTCCTCAAGCGAGAGCTGTGGTGGTTTTCATGGTGACAGGCCAGAGGACTGAAGTGTCTGAATTTGAAGACGCACACATTGCAATGCCTCTTGCGCCCCTCCCTCTGAGCACTGCAGCTGTGTGGGCCGCCCGGACCTGCTCCTGACTCGAGCTCCGCCTGCTCCAGGCCACCCTGCAGCTGCAGCTCGGCTTGCGGCTCGTGTCACTTAGTGAGGGTGGGAGGTTGGGAGAGAGAAGAGCACAGGCATGTGGAGGCCCGATTCTGCACCGTCACAGAGTCCCAGAGTTGTGAGCAGGGACTGGAGCTGGCAAGCCTCGGCACGCGTGCCGCAGCGGGCTGTTTGTGTTACTGAGAGCTCCGAGAGCCCACCGCCACTGGTACAGGTGATCCTGCAGTGGGGCCTTCCAGGCTGCAGGAGGGCCTGCCCACCAGCCAGGCATCCTGTTGCTGAGGGTGAGGTGGCACGAGCCACGGAGCAAGTGCAGAGCCCCAGGAGCCTTTGACCAGGGCCCTGAGGCCTCAGGCTTCTGTGCAGGTCCCGGGCTACCAACGGGAAGGAGGCTGGCTGGCTCCTTAGTGCGGTCTTCATGGTACCCACCCAGCAGGTGCTCTTAGTGTGGAAGAGTGCTCCTTTTGGGGTGCTGTGGGCACTTGAGCTGAGTCCCCAGATCCCCGACCCGTGGGGAGGATGGCAGGGAGCCCTCCGCAACGGGCAGGTCGGCAGAGCCAGAGGTGGCTTTCCCTCTGCGACAAGGCTGAGCCCAAGGGGTTCTTCGTGGACCCCTCATGGGCTGAGGGCAGTCACTTACACGGCGATGTGTGCGGTGCGGTCATCGCTGTCTGGGCCTCTGGCAGGTGACGCTCCAGCCCGGCCGCCCTTCAGCAGCCTGCAGTTGGCTGGGCACTGTGCATTCATGGCCTCCTGGCTCCTTCATTCGGCTGTGCTGTGATCTTGGGTGAACAAGTCCATCTCAGGCTCCGTCTCACTGGCAAGTGGAGCTAATGAAAGGAGATGGGC